TTCACCTTGATTTCCATGAGAAAAATCCCATTTATTGTGTAGGAATAGTTGGTGTCCAGTGCATTTTATGTAGAGTGCTACATAAATGCAGCTTCCAGCCTCCTAGCCACCCTGCTTTTAACTAGAATAGTATCCCAGTTTTGGTAGTTACAGAAATGGGCACTATAATTACTAAAAAGATAGATCTCTTGGCCTAGAGTTAGCGGTGAAGGTTAAGGTGCAGGGATGGGGAATAATACCCTGTTTGAGGAGACCTTGAATGCCTCCAGAGAAACTTAGACTTCATCTCACAGGGAGATCTTGGGGCCATAAGAAGGATGAGGATGGTGATGGGGAAGATAGACAAACAGGTTATTGGGCAACAGTAGAGAAAAGATGGAAAATAAGGAAGACATCCAGAAAACTCTGGAGCAACTCAGACACCAGGCAGTGGGATCCCAGGTAAAGGCAGCAAGATTAGGGAAACAAAAGGAAGAGCCGAGAAAAATTGTTTTTTAAAGAATCCAGAGTAACTTTCACCGCCACAGAATTCGGTTTAGCTGTGGTTAGTGTTGTTAATCATTTTATCTCTGCTACAACGTTCAGACCATCGAATGGAAATTCTATGAATTTACCAATTATTTTCCATAGACCTCTGGTTTGAGGATTTTATTATTACACTGAAGATGCGTTGAAGACATCGCCTGTCCCAGGGTGGCTTGGGCAGGTGTACTACTTGTTATGTGTGTGTGATATAAATGAGACACTTGACACCTTCGACCTCCTGCTCCAGCTGAGAAAGCAAATTGTAAGCTATCAGCTCCAACCCAGGGACACTGTGATGCTATCAGAACTTCAAGAAAAGCTTTTGGCACTAACCCATGGCCTGTGATCTTGTTAAAAGGTTGAATTTATTTCCAAAATAAATGCTGTCATTTCAAATTCTAAGCACCAGAAACCCCCATATCACTAAATAATAATGTATTCGTGGTCATACAAAGGCATTTTTAAAGCAGGTGTTACTTGCTACTTGTATGCAAGTATGTATGTATGTATGAGTTGCTCCTTCCTGAGTCCCATTTTTTAAAAAGGGAAACAAAGAAGACATCATCTTGGTTCAGAAATCCAGCCGAACTTCATCTTTCCCTCAAAGAACGGAAAAATTAGGTCAACATCAAGACCACTTACGAAATCCTCAGGCTTCCTGATACTAGTAGATTCATGGAAACATAGCAGCTATTTTAAATATCGCAGAACTTTACCTTTGACATTCCGTATTCCAGGTCTTTCTGAAACCGAGAAGCACAAAGATGTCTCAAATTTATGGCTAAGGATACATCTATGAAACATCGGCTGCGCTGCTGCGATTAAATTACTGCTTTGTGGTTTTCGACGGTTCTCGTGGTTTATAAAACTTCACTAGTCACACATAAGAGGGATACATGGAAAAGCCAGGGAGGCAGCCAATGAGCATCCGTGTGCTTTGGCACCTGTAGCCATCGGTGTGAATTGTGTAAGTCAAGCAGGGTTTCCGAATTACAGGCAATCTGTCATATGAGCAAAAGATTCCGTACATATAACTACATTTTCAAATAGTGTTAGAAATCTTTCTCTTGCACACACATATATGAAATTCATGTGTATATAAGTATATATGTAATATATATGAAATTCACTTATATCTACATAATATAGACGTAATTCATATAAATATATGTATATATGAATACATTCATTTTATAATTTTATACATCTTATACATACATATAAATACATATAATACAGTTTATATATACATATAAATATATGTATATATGAATACATATATATATATATATGAATTAACACCCCTTTTGGAGGCACCTAATTTGTTTCTAATAAAATATTGAGAACTTTATTATTATTATTATTATTATTATTATTATTATTATTATTACAGCAGTTTTCCTTGGGCTGAGGCTGAAAAGCAGTCTGAAAACTCTGTAACTTCTGCAGCATTGGTAGCAAGCATGGCCAAGTGCCAGCCCAGGACTTTATCGCAGTATAAATGGGGTTTTAAGTGTTTGTTTCCAGTGCAGGTTCTCGCAGCCCAGGCACTTCCCAGCCTCATTGTTCCTTTGTTCTAACGGATGTACAAAGGATTGACTGTTTTGTTTTCTGGCTCAGAGAGATTAGATAAAGTCTGCATTTCTGAACTTCGCCCTGTACGCACGCAACCTTAAGATTCATTTTCTCTAGCTTCTATTTTGCAGATTATATATGGCTTAGGTTTTACTGATCATACTGTGATCTTCTTTAACCCTTATCTGGCTTGTAGCCGTCAGCGACAGTATTGATCTGGTCCGAGCTATCGCTGCAAAGCAGCCGTCCCTCTCACCCTTGTCCTCAAAATGCCTCTTCCGCAAAAATGTGTCATCTCGATCAGCTGTGACAAGGTTGTTCTTGACTTTCATTGACTTCCAGAATCTCCTGGTAGTGAAGTACCTTATTCTTGCCGGGCAACAATAACAACAAAAAACTTTCTGGGAGGGGAAATTCTGTTCTTTCTTCTTGTTACACCGTTCTTAATTACAGACTATGGTATTGGATAGGATAGAAAAATGTAAATAATATTGTCAGAAAAAAAAAACTACTGTTTTTCCGTAAGAACCTATAAATGAGAATCATCTTGGGAATTTTTAAATTTTATCTTAGTAGTTAGAAAGTTAGGTCATGGGAATAAGCTGATAAGATTTTATCAAGTTTTTGTGTTTTTCTTCATGAAGAAGGCAATTGAGGCTATTAGTTTAGCTTTAAAAAATTGTATCCCACAATTTTTTAAATTCTACTGCCTCTAACTTATCGGTGATTCAGAGGAAGCCCTTTTTTATGATCAAGTAGGGAGCATAAGTTCATATTACTTATGCCAGGTAACATCGGCTCTATACTTCCTCAAAACACCCGAGAAGACAGATCTGATTATGACACTGACCAGACAGACGGGGGGCGGGGGGGAGGCTTACATGAGGGGAGTAACTTGTCCAAAGTCTCATGACTAATACATGATGGACCCGAGGATCTGAACCGGGTTCTATCTGACCCCAAAGCCCACACCCTCTGCCACTACGTTTCTCTGCTTCCGTGGTGGGACCTCCTCCTGTTTACAGAAATAATAACAACAACAGTAGCTGACATTGAACACCTGCTATGTGCCAGACACCATTCTAAGGGTTCTTGATAAGACACTCAATTTAACCTTCGTAGATGTCTTGCCAAAAAGGTGGTATTATTATCAGCCTTGCATAGATGAGCCGGCGGAGGCACAGAGAGCTTAGGGAATTGCCCGAAGTGCCCAGCTACAGAACAGGAGTCAAATTCGGGCCCACACTGTCAGACTACAGAGCCCGCCCTCTTCAGGTGAACCTCTGCTGTGCTGGGGCATCAGCCACACAACCTGGCGCTTTGGACTCTGAACTACCGCTGTCTCAGCTTCCTTGTCAGCTGACATTTATATTGTTATTAGTTCTTGTATTATAAAATGTTATGTGGCTTGTGAGCTTTTTGCAGTATGATGTGCTCATATAAAAACACAAAAAAAGACATTAGATTGGCCATAATCTGTATTTAGCTTATGGGTCGTGTCTCTATGTGACCCATACAGAGTCATAGGAGCTATCTGGCCATAAATACATTTTTTTATAAGATTTTTTATTTTTTTACTCATGAGAGACACACAGAGAGAGGCAGAGACACAGGCAGAGGGAGAAGCAGGCCCCATGCAGGGAGCCCGACGGGACTCGATCCCAGGACTCCAGGGTCACGCCCTGGGCTGAAGGCGGTGCTAAACCGCTGAGCCACCCTAAATACCTTTTTAATACAGAATAAGGTTACCTTGTTCCTATCTGTATTAATGTCAGTCACAGCAAACATCTTAAAACAGACTGTTCTAAGAAGATTCTAGAATCTGAAGTTATTTCATGAGCAAAATAGAATTTACCAAGATGTAGATAAGAACTGAAATCCCTGTAGCCTTGCCACTAAAACATCTGACCTGGCTTTGAACTTTAGCCTCCGATATCTTGATCCTACTTTCTAGATCAATAACCAAGTTGGATTTCTGAAAATTACTCGTATATAAATGTCTCTCAATGCTGCTATTCCCTGCATTAGGGTAGGGAGGGCCTTCTTTCTCTGATGGCCCCACTGCATCATAGAATGGCTGATCATTCATACTATTGACGTCGTTCCTAACCCAGGGACAGGGTGCTCATCCTATTTCAAGTTCCACGGTGAAGATTCAGTACACTAGACAACACGGGAAATGGGAAATGGGACTCCTCAAACTCACCCAACTCTCACCCAACTCTCACCCAACTCTCGTTGAACCTAAGTGAACAAGCTAGGTGCAGGACCAACCCCCTCCACCCACTCTGGAGACTTCAGCAACTCCAAAACATCCCCAAACTTAAATTGAGAAAATCTAAGGACAGAGGGAATCCCAGGTGTTGGGAGAATTCATTTTTACAAGCGACCTAGGCTAAGCTCGTAATCAGGTCTATATTTTTTGTGGTTTTATGATATTTAAAAACAACCCAAAGTCATATATATAACTATAACTATATATATATATATTAACTATATATATTAACTATATATTTAACTCCCCAAATCCACAACCTAAAAAAGAAAAAGTTTGATACACATTTCAAACTATTTCTTAGTATCTGTATTTCCTGTTGAGATGTTTAGTACTTATCCAGGCATAGCCTGGGTGTTTGTCAGTGTGTGAAAAGTGCTAACCTTCCAAGCCAAAGAAAATATAACCTTACTTGGAATTCTAAGCTCAGAGCTGTCTTAACAAAAAGTTCTTTTAGAAAAAGAAGTTTGTATGATGAGAAGCTAAGTGGATAAATACCGATTTGTTTCACGGACAGCAGATTCTTCAAAGTTTTTAAGGAAAACGAATCTGGGTTACAGCAAACTAGCATGTGTCTGCAAAAGCCTTGAAACCATGTTCTCTCTTTTGGATTTTTGCCTTGCAGATCCTTTACCACCTGCTAAGTTTGAAGTCAATGAAGAGAAGACGACTTCAACGAGCTTGCATGTTTGGTGGACTCCTTCTTCTGGAAAAGTCACCTGGTATGAGATAGAGTTGTTTGACAATGACCAAAAGATACAGGAGACTCAAATTCAAGAAAGTACTTCATTGAACGAACATACATTTTTTAACCTCACTGCTGGTAGTAAATACAGTATTGCCATCACAGCTGTTTCTGGAGAGAAACGTTCCCTTACGATTTACACCAATGGATCCACAGGTAAGACTTGCTTACAGATAGTTGAGTATTTATTGTCTATAATAATCCCTTTTAGGATTATATTAAAACTGAAGAGATAGAAGTAAGATTGCCTCCAGACCAAAGATGGTAGATAGGGAGGTAGGTGGGTAGGTAGATAGATAGATGAGTGCCGTGCAGTATGGTGGGAAGGCTAGACTAAAAATAAGGAGATGTGGCTGTGCTGCTAGCTTGCTAGGTGATTTTGAGCAAGTTCTGGGACTTCTCTGGACCTGGATTTTCTCCAAAATGAAGTAGATGGTTCCTAATGGCCTTTCTAACTCAAATCTTAGGCAACAACAGTTTCTACCTCAGTTTCTGATTTTGTTCCATAATGTGTATGGCCATTAGTGTTTTCCTCCTGCGTGATGCTCTTCTTATAACATCAAGTCATGATGTTTCCTACATTCTCTGACATCTGGAACTAGTGTCTTCTTGCACCCACACATCCAGATGTCAACGACATGCTTCACCTCCTTCCATGAAACACTGTCTTTCTGATCATGGTCTCTCCTCTCGTTTTCTCTCTGGCTTTCTTTCTATTTTTCTGTTTTTCATCTTCCATAGTTCTTCTCTCTCGTCTCTCTTTGCTGCTCAGCCATGTCATACTTTATTGGCAAAAATTACCCTAATACCTATTAAGTAGGGGAGAGAGACAGGTAAACTATGATGTAGCTTTAGGTGTGGACTTTGAAAAAAGCATTAATTCAGATTCCAGTGAAATTTTAACAGCACTGTTTTCATTACTTTTTGCACAAATGAGATGTACAGAAGCATACCTAAAGGTGTGATTTCCAACTAAATGTGTCTCTGTCTTCTATAAGGAAATTATGAGTGACCCTTTGGAAATGCATTTTGTTTTCCCAGTGCCATCCCCAGTGAAAGATATCAATATTTCAGCAAAAACCAATTCTCTCCTGATTTCCTGGTCCCATGGCTCTGGGAATGTGGACAGCTACCAGCTGATGCTGATGGATAAAGAGAACCTCGTTTGTGGCAATGTCATGGACAAATATGCTACTTCCCACAGTTTTAATGACCTGATACCTGGCCACCTCTATAATCTGACCATTGTGACCGAGGCTGCAGGGCTGCAAAACTACAGATGGAAACTGGCCAGGACAAGTGAGTTCCACTAACTAGCTAAACAAAAATAAAGCTCAAATAATTGAAATGGTTAATAACCACGGCTTATTATATTACTGAGATAATGCTAATATGAGATAAATTGAAATTTATATGTTAGAGAAGGCCTTTAAGATGTACCCAATCTTCTATTCAGAAAAAGAGGGATACCCTTGTATTCTAAATTTTAGACCAGCCTGAAGTAGCAAAGTTAACCACTGATACAGTCTCAGCTTGTCTTTTTAGTATTCCGACCTCTTTGGTAAGGATTCTTACTTCCTTTTCTTAAATAAGCATCTGTTACCTTTGTGACATCACTTACAATGAGCCAATATTATTTTTCTTGGTGCTATACGAAGACCTGCTCCTGTGAAACAGCCATTTCTTTTATTTTTTTTAAAGATTTATTTATTTATTTATGATAGAGAGAGAAAGAGAGAGGCAGAGACACAGGAGGAGGGAGAAGCAGGCTCCATGCCGGGAGCCCGACATTGGACTCGATCCCGGGACTCCAGGATCGCGCCCTGGGCCAAAGGCAGGCGCTAAACTGCTGAGCCACCCAGGGATCCCCGAAACAGCCATTTCTTAAACGCTGTGCCCAAGAAAACATGTCCTAAGACCCAATGCTACAGGAACTATTCTCACAGCCTAACATAGCCAGATACACTACTCTGTGCTAAATTTTAATGAATAATTCATGTACACATTCAATCATTTAGTATCTATTGAGTATAAACTACATGCTAGGCATTGTGGATATAACAGTGCCCAAGAAGGCCAAAGTCTTTGCCCTTATGCAACTCACATTCCAGTGGATTCTTTTTTTTTTTTTTTCCAGTGGATTCTAATGCTTCTAGTGGGTCTAATGTGTTAATAAATTCCCTTTCTCAGTAAGCTATCTAATTTTAGGAGAAATTTTTAGGTATGTAGTACCTTAGAAATTACTCTAATGGGAAGAGCTCTTGGCACTACCAGAGATTGATGGGAAAAATATTTGGAGGGCACATGTACATTTACATACCTTCCACATCACACCTCAAAGATGTATAGATGTTCCCAACAAAAACGTGCCATATATCTCAGGGCACCTACTGGCTCAGTTGGAGGAGCATGCAACTCTTGATCTCAAGGTTGTGAGTTTAAGCCCCATATTGGGTATAGAGATTGCTTAAAAATAAACTCTTTTTTAAAAAAGTACCTTAAATAGTGCTTGCTTCGGCAGCACATATACTAGAAAGTAGTACCTTAAATATATTTTAAGAATTGTTTATGTATAGCAAGAGCAAATTACACTTCTCACTGGCCTATGCAAAATCAATGTGCTGTGCCTATTTTTAAAACGAAACGTTCATTTTTATTTTGCTATTAGTGAAGACCAAAATTACAACGTAGCCAAGAGGTAGAAAAAATATTCACCAAAGTGTCTTTCTTTTGTAATCATTTTCCTTTGATGAAATAATGACACAATTCTTGAGCTTTATTATTTTATATGAAAGATAAAATATTTTTAACAAGCAAAATTTTGTGATGGCCAATGAGCTGACTAATCTATTGATTATGTATTTGCTATTATGAAATACATAAAGACGAGAAGAAATTAGGCAGATGACAGACTTCTTTAAGCATTCCAAGACCTCATTTGCCAGTAAGGATCCCTAGGCTCAGTGACATAGACAGAGGTGGCCAGGGTTGCCCAGTTGGACAACAGCCAAGTCTGAGCCAGAATCCAGGCTCCTGAGTCCCATGTTTATGCTCTTTCCACCAGCCAGACAGCCTTTCTTTGATTTTGCCGTATTATTTTTACTCATAAAGTTGTTGCTTTCTTCTGAGCAAGGAATGTGGCTTTCGGGGATTAAGATACAGGTCAAGATTTGGCCATAAAACTGGTACAATATACTGAGTTAAAGTGTCTTTTCCTGTCTTCCCATTTAGCCCCCATGGAAGTATCAAATCTGAAGGTGACAAACGATGGCACTTCGACCTCTCTAAAAGTCAAGTGGCAAAGACCTTCTGGAAATGTGGATTCCTACAACATTACTCTGTTTCACCAAAGGACTATAAAAGAATCCAGAGTATTAGCACCCCAGTTTACTGAAACTCAATTTAAAGACTTAACCCCTGGACGACTTTATCAAGTTACCATCAGCTGTGTCTCTGGTGAATTGTCTGCTCAGAAGATGGCAGTGGGCAGAACAGGTGAGTGTAGGGCTTCAGAATATTCCTTGATTGCCCAAATCATTCTCTGATCCATCTTAGAACAGGACAAAGTAAGTTAGAAGGAAAACTCTTTTCCCAGCTTGGGCAATATGGTCTACATGACTGAGGGTGCCTATGGGCCAGGGCCCCATACACAGAGTAAAACAGAGGGTTACTTGCATTCATCTGAGTTAGTTAAGCAAATGTGTTTGGGGTGATTCCTGAATGATGTGTATAACTGGCTCTGCCCTGTGCTATTTCATGTCACACCACGTAAGTTGTGTGAATGCATTAGCACTGATACTAATGAATAAAACATTTCTGATCAACTCTTATAGTGAAAGCCAGTTAGCACTTACCCATGTTTTCCATAAATTATTTTATTAACTTACATCACCAGATATTTATCCAGTGCCTTCTATGTGTAAATTACTGTGCTATGAGTTTGGAAAGTTGTTAAAATGTCAGGTTCAGCAAACTGCACCCTTTTGCCAAATATGGCCTGTGCCCTGTATTTGTGTAGCCCCAAGCTAAGAGTGGTTTTTATATATTTAAAAGGTTTTTTTGAAAAGAAAAAAAAAAGACAAATGTGAGACAGGGACCATATGTGGCCTGCAAAACCTGAAATACTTACTCTGCTGACCATTGCTTTTAAGAGAATTACATCTTAACCAGACAAATGTAGACTATACACACACAAAATCAAAGTAGTACATTATAATAATAGTAATTTGATATTTCCATGTATCAGGCACTAACCAAACACTTTACACCATCACCATGAGAGAGGTTCTGTTATTATGATCATTTTACAGAAATTCAGAGAGATCAAGTAGCCTGTGTATAGTCATCCACACAGTAAATGGTGGGGTTGGAATTTAAACCAGAGCATTTAATTCCAGAGTCCGTTCTCTGTGCTGTTAGAGATTCTAAGTAAGAGCCATATGGTGAGAAAAACAAGAGAACAAAATTCTTGCTCAGAAGATCAATAAAGATGTGTCGGAGGAAATGGTCTTTAACTGGACCTTAAAAATGTGAGGCTCTTGGCAAGTGAAGAGGGAAAGGAGGGAGGGGCATTTGAGGCAGAAGAGCCCAGGATCCCTAGAGGTCTGCAGAATGTGCAATGGGATGCCAGCGTTGGAGAGAGTGGGGGGGGGGGAGGTAGCAAGGGGGGCTGCACAGAGGAGTCAGAATTAAGACCAGAAGGATATGGGGTCTGATTTTGGAAAGCTGCAAATGCCACTCCCAGGACTTGATGTTTTATTCTGTAATTAATGGAGAGATTTGCATATTTTTAAGCAAAGGAATAATTAGACCAGAGTTATATTGCTTGTCAGTTGAGAAAGAGCTGGATGTCTCATGACCACAACATGCAGTGTCTCTCCCAAAAGATACCACATCCGCCAGTGTCAACATCATGAGAAGCAACATCAATATTGTCCCTAGGGCTGGCGTGCGATCAATAAAACGCAGCACTCGTATCGCCAGGTTATTAACAGGGTTTCAGGAGATCGCATTCCTGGTGTATCACCAAGATGATTTTAGCTTATGTTGCTTGAGCATCAGATGTCTTTAAAACGAGGAGCGCACACTCATTCGCAGTCCACAAACATCAGAAGGGGATAGAGATGTTTTGAATTGCAGGTATGAGGTCTCTTATCTACGGTTGCCCGTGAAAAGTGAATGAGCGTCCTTACTTTTGGTTTTTAGAATCCCCTTTTTGACATTATTTCACCGTTTAGTTCCAGAGAAAGTTGGGAACCTGGAGGCAAACAGTAATGGTTCCACAAGGTCCCTGGTAGTGAGCTGGTCGCCCCCTGCTGGAGACTGGGAGCAGTATCGGATCCTGCTCTTCAATGATTCTGTGGTGCTGCTCAACATCACCCTGGGAAAGGACGAAACACACTACACCATAGATGACGTGGGGCTCATCCCGGGAAGACAGTATGAAGTCGAAGTCACCGTGGAGAGTGGGAATCTGAAGAATTCTAAGCGTTGCCAAGGCAGGACAGGTAAGCAAATACCAACGTGTGAATGACTGTTGGAATCTTAACTTGAACCCTCTCCCGAGTAATGCCGGGGAGCTGTCAACGTAATACTCCCATGTTCCCTGAATTTGAGATGTTATGGACTTTTAGACTGAATTAGGTTTGGTGATGTTCAATTTTGTCAAATTAGAACATTAAAAATTATTTCCACTAGTAAGTCCACTCTTTTATAAAAAGGAAGACATTGTAAGCACCAAAGGAATAGGAAACAATCTGAGACTCCTTCCCACAAAAGAAGACAGTTGGCAATTTTTTTTGCTAGTGATCAGTGTTAGAGAGCCATTGCCTGGACCTAATGTTGACTGATGAGGGAATTTCGTGTACCAAGGAACGGTTATTAAAGGAAAGTGGGATATATTTGGATTTTAGGGTAGAGGAGAATGAGGATCTGGAGACATGGGCTTTGGCATTCTTGCTGTCACCACTATACTGTCATTCCTTGGGCAAGCTCACAACACCTCTGAGTCTGTTTCCTCATCTTTCAAATAAAAGAATTGCCCTTCCAAGCTCAATATTTCTATGACCTGGAATATTCCATACTTGGAGTGAAATTCAAGTACCTTCTCTCATCTTGCCTGAGGATAAGGAAATAACTACATTGACTCAATGTTCTTCTTAGGGGAATGTCAAAGAAAAGAACCAAGGCACCTCTTGAGCTTGCCAATCAGGTCTTCCAGTAATATCTTCATTTTCCAAATATTAATATCCCTTGGATAATGATCAAAAATCTATATAAGCTTAAACCAAGCTACTTTTAGCATTTCACGGAACAAGCGTCTATGTCCTCTCCGATATTATATCTTAGTCACCTTAAATGACTTGGAATACTGTCAAGAAACAGTAGGGGCTCTTAGCATATTGGCGTAATTATCAAGAAAGATTTTCTTACACTGTACCTCTAGGTGAATAAGGTTATTTGAAGTAGGCTTTGATGTAATGATCCAATTCATTTCAATGTATTAAAAAGGAAGATACAAATCTAGGGACTCAATTAGAATGGAATTAGAGGACATTTCTTTGATGCAAAAATCAATATAATTTTACACACTTGGTTTTTCCTTAATTTTGTTTCTCCGTTGTTTTGTGGGACCAGTACTTTACTGTTAGCAATGTCTCCTAGAACTTGTAATAATGAAACTTCTTAAAGAAATCGAAACAATTTCAGTTCTTTGGATAGTGGGAGTCCTTAATCAAATACTGCTATGGCTTGCCAGGTGTACGACTATTACTCTCCCTTTCACGGATACATCAGTGTCCCTTCTCAGAAATGAAGGGAAGAATCACTTTGTCTTTCTAATCTAACAGGGTAAAAAATACTCCTAACCTTACCTCAAATAATCAAATTTAGAGACCTTTCTCTCTGCTTTCATGGATGACAAGACTGAACTCAGAGTATTTTTATTTCATAGAATTCATATGAAGAAATAAATACTCAAGGTAATGTGTGGTCAGAAATAAATGACCCAGGAAAGCACTTTCCAATAGTATTCTTTTGAATCCTCCCTTCCAGATAGGTTGTATAAACAAAATTTGAGGTGCCCGGCTGGCTCAGTCGGTGGAACACACAACTCTTGATCTCGAGGTTGTGAGTTCAAGCCCCACAGTGGGTGTAGAGATTACCTAAAAATAAAATCTTTAAAAGACATAAACACACAGTTTTTGTGAATAGCTCCCCCTCTGCACCCCACCCCCCACCCCGCTCAAGAGCTCATACACGTTCAGAAAAGAAATGCTGAACTGGAACACTCCTGTGATTGGAAGAGAATCTCACTAAGAAATACTTGAGCGTTTCTGTGTCAAACCAATGACACAGTCTCCATCACTTTTTCCTTAGTCCCCTTGGCTGTCCTCCAGCTTCGTGTCAAACATGCCAACGAGACCTCACTGGGCGTCATGTGGCAAACCCCAGCAGCAGAATGGGAGAAATACATCATTTCACTTGCTGACAGGGACCTCTTACTCATCCACAAGTCGCTCCCCAAAGATGCCAAAGAATTCACTTTTACTGACCTGGTACCTGGACGAAAATACATAGCTACAGTCACCAGTATTAGTGGAGACTTAAAAAATTCCTCTTCAACTAAAGGAAAAACAGGTAAAATTGTTTATAAAGTTTAGACATTAAAAAGTATCCTGTCTACTGAATTGCTTAACATTTAATTTACAAGTGTTCCTTAAATGCCTCTGATGTACTGGTCATTGTTTATTAATTTTTTACTACTGTTGTTTTTTTCTTATGCTAATTTCAACTCTTATTTTGTGTGTTGTGTTTTTTCTTTTACTTGGTTTTATTTTTAAATGGAAAAAGAGAACAGAGAACAACTTTTCTCAGGAGTTCTGCTGCAAAGGAAAGCAGAGAAATAGGGCATCGTCTGAAAGAGGAAGTATGTTTGAAATGAGGATTTTATTTAAGGTTAAAAGAAATAATATGTTTTATGCTGATGGGAATGTTCTAGAGGAGAGAGGAATGGTGATGATGTCAACAGGGTGGAAGAGTTGCTGCAGTTATTCTATGAGTAAGCAAGCTTTGGGAGCTAGAGCACAAATAAAGGAATTGGCTTTAGAAAGGAGCATGAGTAGTTTGACTTTCAGGTCAGCTGGGATAAAAAAAGAGTATCGAATGCATATGCCAGTAAGTAGACAGATGCGGTGGTGGACAAATAGCCTTTGGTAGCGCTCTTCTTTTTCTCAGTGAAACAGGAAGCAAAGTTACAATCAAAGACTTGCTGTTCCCATCTGTACACTCTTGTTGTCCTGTATTCTGTTTCTGTCCTTTTTTCAACCCCACAAAAAATTACCACTTATCATCTCATCTTTCCTTCCTGTATCTTGCAAGTTCCGTTTGGGATTAGTTTCCCTCATTTCGGAGAACAGTCTTCAGATTTCTCTATTAGAGTTTTTCAGAACAAACTCTTTACACTTTCATTTATCTGCATGTCTTTCTATAGCTCTCAATGTTGAAAGATATTTTGCCAGGGTTACAATTCTATGCTGAAAGTTATTTTCTCTCAGCATATTGAAGATATTACTGTAGTCTTTCTGACATTTATTCTTGCTGTTGAAAAGTCAGTCTAATTTTTATTTCTCTCTGGATAATCTGTTTACTCTGACTGCTTTTGAGATTTACTCTTTGCCTTTGGTGTTCTGTTGTTTGCAGTAATAACTAGATATAGACTTCTTTTTTTTTAAATTTTTTTTTATTTAGTTATGATAGTCAGAGAGAGAGAGGCAGAGACACAGGCAGAGGGAGAAGCAGGCTCCATGCACCGGAAGCCCGACGTGGGATTCGATCCCGGGTTTCCAGGATCGCGCCCTGGGCCAAAGGCAGGCGCCAAACTGCTGCGCCACCCAGGGATCCCTAGACTTCTTTATCATGCTTGAGATCATGATGATTTGTGTACTTGCAGATTAATATCTTTCATCAACCCTGGAAATTCTCAGCTGGCCATTAACTCTCTGATATTGTGTCTTGCCTTTTCTCCAGTCCCTCTCTATTCAACTTTTGGTAGTATAGAATACATATTTTTTCATATTTTCCATGTATTTGCTCTCTGGGCTATATAGTCTAATTTCCTCAGCCCTGTGTTTTAGTTCCTTAATTCTTTCTTTAGCTCCATCTAATATTTTTTAAAATCCATCCATTGAGTTTTAAGTTTTAATTGTTAATTTCTTCACTTTCAAACATTCTCTCTGGCTCTCTTTCCAAATCTGTTTTGTGCTCTGTTGTTCTTTAGTCATATTTCCATTATCCTCCTTTATTGCAGTCAGTAAATAAACCATTTTTATTTTACCTTCTGTGTCTGATAATTCTAATATCTGAAATCTTCAGGAGTTCAATCCTGTTGTCTATTGAGTTTGCTGCCTTTTGCTCATGGTGCTTTACTTCCTTAAGTGTTTGTGATTTTTCACTATAAACTCATACATCTTGGAAACTTACTCTATGGGAATTCTTTGAGGCTTTCTTTAAAGATGGATTTTAGAAAGAATTTTCTTTTCATTTAATTCTTTGAAGTGCACAGGACTGCTATCAACCCAGACTTATTTTAACCTGAACTGTCAACTTGAAGCTTTTTTGATCACCCAGGTTTTATGAATTTGGTTTGCAAACTCACTGAAACAGTCTTGAGGTTATGAATTCTCAGCAGAAATTTTTTTCTCTAGCACCCAGTGCCAAGGGGGCTGGGGCGATAGGAGGAGCAGAGAGGGAATATTGATTTCACTTACATTTAGAATGTAACATTTCAGGATTTAATGTTATGCAGGTCACCCATCAGGTTCCTGAGTTTGGGAAAGTCCTACACTTTACCCCCTATTTCATAGATCCTGCAAAGCTGTAAAATCAAAGCTTAAATTTATGTTTGAAAGACGCCTTCAAGATGAAAGTATGCTTCAGTGAACCAATTACCTATCACTTTTTTAGGTCTCTGAGAATTCCTTACATTCTTGACAACTCACTCATGCATTTACATTTTTATATTTTATCCAACACATGTAGTTGTGTTTATTGGGGGGGGGGTTCATGGTATGTAGCCCACTCTACTGCAGGAGTTAGAAATACAAGGGACTGTTTTAGTCTTAAGATCATTTTCATCATTCCCAGCATTCACATTGCTGGGTCATATGGTGAGTGTATTTTTAACTTTGTAAGAAACTACCAAACTGCTTTCTAGAATGGTTGTAAAATGTTACATTCCCACCACCAGTGTAGGAGTTCCTCCATAATCTCAACATTACTCAGTATTACAATGGGGTTTTTTAAACCATTTTAATAAGCATGTGATGGTATCTCATGTGATTTTGATTTGCCTTTCTCTAAGGCCTAATGGTTTTGAACATCTTTTCATATGCTTATTTACCATTCATGTATCCTCTTTGGGGAAGAACATATTTTCAAATATTTGTCCTTTTTTTGATGGGGTTGTTTGCTTTTTATCACTGAATTTTGAGAATTCTTTATATTCCAGGTATTAGTCCTTTGTCAGAAATGTGAGGTGAAATGGTTTCTCTCAGGCTGTGGCTTGTCTTTTCATTAATTTATTAGTATATTTTGCAGGATACATTTTTAATTTTGATGTTCAATTTATCAGTTTTCTTCTTTCACGGACCATGCTTTTGGTGCCCTATTGAAGAAATCTTTGCCTTAAACAAAGTCACAAAGATTTTACCTAGAATATTTACAATTATAGGCTTTTAATTGAGGTGAATGATCCACCTTGAGTTCATTTTTATATGTGTATGAGATTTGGGTTAAGGTTTATTTCTTTGCATATGGACATCTAATAATTCCAGCCCTATTTGTTGAAAAGACTATTCTTCCTTCACTGAATTGCCCTCTCATCTCTGTTAAAAAAAAAAAATCAATGAACTATATATATGTTGATCTATTTCTGGACTCTCATTTCTGTTCCATTGATTGGTGTGTCTATCTTTTTGCCAGTATCACACTGCCTTCATTATTTTAGCTTTCTAATAAGTCTTGAAATCAGATGATGTTACTCTTCCAGCTTTGTTCTTCTTTTTCAAAATCATTTACCATATTAATTCCTTTGTTTTCCATATGAAATTTAGAATGAGAATTGAATCTTCTGATCCATGTACAGTACTATTTTTTAATGAGTGTATTTATATCTTAATCCAAAAGTCAACAAATTCTGAGAAGGATTGTGCCAAGCTCCCAATCCTTTTAATTACCATAATTTAGGAAAGAGGCACAAAGATGTTATATGTTGATCAAGAGCCAACTTCAGGATCTATATAAGATATTTTTAATGGGTAGGTTAGAAATCATAATAGTTGCTAATTAGGAAAAGGTCACATACTCACAGGATAGACAGATCAGGCTGTGGGCTCCAGGAGTTTGTTAGCACTGTGATAATGGGCTAAATTACTTATATTTTATGGTCTTTGGTTTCCTCCTCAGTAAAGAGAATAACGAAATCATATTTATAGAGTTTGGAATGAAGATCAGATATTATAATTTCTAAAAGCTATAGAATCTATAATTGGCACATAGCAGACACTCAGTAGTTATCACTACTAGTAGTTATTATTATTGTTATTATTATTATTATATGATAATATAATTTATACTGTTGTAGCATTTTAATGTATAGTAATAATGATCCTCTTCAGAATGTGCCAGTAAAGAATTAACCAGTTTCCTAAACTACAACCTAATCATCAGGTTGAAGGGATTTCCCAGTATCACCCTAATCACCCTATAACAACCATCAGCTCAGGTAGGTAATGTGGCTCTCAGTTCTCATGAAGTAAGGACAGAGAAAATCACATAAAGTAAGCAATATTCAAAAATAACCTTTTTTTCATTATTGAAAATGTAAATTCAAAACTACTTAATAGGTATGCATCATCTCACCCGTAGATCTGAAGTAATTTTGATTTCACATATAAGCAGCTTCTGTATGGGAGTAGTTTGCCATATGCCACAGGAAATAGAGCTGAGAGTCTTATAGCAAAAACATATAGATATATTTTTATCATCTTCAAGACTGTCTCCATTTTTGACTCATTTTGTTACACTTCCCTAGGGTGACTAAATGTCATCTGGTTTTTCTTCTTCTCTTTGTCTGCTGTGCTCTAGTGCCTGCCCAAGTGACTGGCTTGTATGTGGCCAACCAAGGGACAACCAGCAGTCTATTTACCAACTGGACCCAAGCACTAGGAGACATAGAGTTCTATCAAGTCTTACTGATCCATGAAAACGTGGTCATCAAAAATGAAAGTGTCTCCAGCGAGACCAGCAGATACAGCTTCCACGCCCTCAAATCAGGCAGCCTCTACTCTGTGGTGGTAACAACAGTAAGCGGAGGGATCTCCTCCCGACAAGTGGTGGTAGAGGGAAGGACAGGTAAGAACACATGGGAAGTCCAGAGTATATTCTAGGACTTTTCAAAGCACCCTAAAAACAGATCCATATTTGACTTTCCTAAGAGCCAAGTTTCAATACCAACCATCCACACATGTTGCTCTCCTAGGAATGGAAATGGGCGGGGGAGGGGAAGCAGGGGAGGGGAGGCGAGGATGAATTCTCAATTTAAATCTCCCAGAACTTCTAGAATGTGTCAGAACTTCTAGAAAAACCTTTGTGGTAACATAATAGTCATTTGATGCCTAAGCTTATCCCTCATTCAGATGATGAATTTTTTTTTTAAATTTTATTTATTTATGATAGTCACACAGAGAGAGAGAGAGGCAGAGACATAGGCAGAGGGAGAAGCAGGCTCCATGCACCGGGAGCCTGACGTGGGATTCGATCCCAGGTCTCCAGGATCGCGCCCTGGGCCAAAGGCAGGCGCCAAACCGCTGCGCCACCCAGGGATCCCCAGATGATGAATTTCTTACTGTGTATGTCCCAGTTAAGATAAATAAGTAACGAGATTTTTTTTTACGAGATTTTTTTTTAAGTATATTCTCTTCCTTTTCATATTCTTGTTTCAAGACATAGAAAGGAGATGATTTTCAACTTCTATGGTCCAAAAATGAGTTCATAAAATTCCCAAATCACATATATTTTCATAAGCAACATTAAACAAGTGCTTAGTACCATACACCACCTAAACAATGTTCCTTGACCTTGAGGAGATCACAGTCAAATAGGACAAAGAGCTAAGTAAACAAACAAGTGTCATATGGTCGCATGTGTCAGACAAGGTTGGCACCAAAGAAGGAAATATATTTTCTACACAAGACCAAGAAAGAATATAAATAAACAGTATAAAATTTATATTGTTTATATTGTTCTAGTTTCTTAGAAAAAAATTAAGTACATTCAGTAAAGCTTTGACAATTATTGATAAAATCAGAATCAGGTCAGTGACTTTGCCTACTCAGTTCTATATGATCATAAATTGGATTTCAGGCTCCTCCTTCTGTACCTCTGATGCTCGGATTCTGAGTATCAACTGCAGGCATCATAGATATGTCCCTTTTTAAAAATCATGAATCTTATCTACTTAATGAACCCAGGGAACATTAACTTCCTTAGCTCTCCCAGAAAAGCAACTAAGCCATTGAAAAGATATTTCCTAGTTTTGGTAGAAATTCACTGATATGTGCCATTTTGCTCATTCTGTGGCAGCTAATATTATTACCTACATCCTTCTTCCCAATACTTTCTTTCTTCTCTGTTAGTGCTTCTTAGTACCGGCCATTGGTGTGGCATAACCAGGGCTGGAGGATTGAAACCTCGCTTGGGAATCAGGAGGCCTAGGTTCTGGTCCTAGCTCTGCCATTAACTTAACATCTCAAAGCCTCCAGTTTCTAATCCATCCCTGGTAACTTACCCCCATTTATCCCTGTGCCCAGTAATTTACCCCAATTTATTTCTGCTGGAGTGAGGAAGGAGAAATAACAAGAAAGCTGAGAAGGTTAAGAAGGGCGCTGCACCCATTTCCCAGCGAGACGCGGTTGTATTAGTCAGATCAGACTGACTTATTTCCTGCTTACACCGACTATTCACCCACTATACACCATGGGGGTTCCTGATTAGACAGTTCTATTGGTTGATTCTTTCCTGAGCAGCAATTCAGGGATCCAGGCTCCTACCATCTGTGGCTCTTCCTTCCTCTAGGTCCTCAGAACTCTTGTCAGTTTCTCCAGAGAGTAGAGGTCATGGGGTGGGGGAAGATGACCAGACCGGGAAGCAGACACATCACTCCTCCCCCCACATTCCATCAGTGGGAACACACTCAAGTGGCTACATTTCACTGCAGGGGAGGCTGGGAAATATAGCCTTGCCATGTGTCTAAGAGGAAGAGGAAATGGTTTGCTAACAACGAGTCAGGTTCTGTGGCACAAGTTAATTTTCATTTTAAAATATGTCAAGGGCTTTTGAACTTACTGTGATAGGCTAACATAGTTTGGTACCTGATACCACTTGAAATAAGTGCTTGAAATAAGTGCTTTAGTCGTAGCAGAGGTATCAGTATTTGACGCACGGTATATAACAGAAGCACGCAAAAACAAGACAAGAAAGTCCTTGAAGAGTGATCATAAGGTTTTGAGGAGAAGGCAAAATATAAATAAATATAAGCATGAGTTATTTGACTCAAACACATTAGGAGTGCAGACATTATCACAAGAAGAGGGGAAAATGGGATTTTACTACAGAAACACAACAACTAGAGACTTTGAAATATGCCTAGATTAGTAAATTTTGTATACAGTAGATTATAAAACATTCAGTGGCTAACGCCTTGATAATGATTACCATCCACTCAAATTGCTGAAATGTCGGTCAGTGCTGAAACAGTTGAAAGGTTTTGAAAGCCTTTCTTGTTCACACATATTTCCATGGAGTTGAAACATATAAGTAAACCCTCCCAGCCTAGAGAAGGTGGCAAGATATTTAAGGTTTATCAGATATGCTTAACAAATCTAATTCTAACCTGAGAACATGCTGATTCTAGAGGAAAAACAAATTTTATATCTGTTTTGTGGGAACATGAATTTGTATTGTTGACAAAACATTTGATAATTGTATCTTTTCTAATAAAATGTTAGTAGTTGCAAATATCTCTAGGGGTTTTGAAAAACAAGCACAGTTCTTTGGAGAGCAATCAGGGGATGTACGGATTATTAAATGGAGAGAAGAAGAAAGGGAGGAAAAGGGAGAGGGAGGAAGAACAACATCAGCATATAAATATTAAAGGGACACCTGAGTGACTCAGTGGTTGAGCGTCTGCCTTTGGCTCAGGGCGTGACCCTAGGGTCCTGGGATGGAGTCCCACGTTGGGCTCCCTGCATGGAGCCTGCTTCTCCCTCTGCCTGTATCTCTGCCTCTCTCTCTGTGTTTCTCATGGATAATGGATAAATAAAATCTTTATATATATATATATATATATATATATATATATATATGTATGCTAAAAGGTTCAAGTTTATGTCTAGGAAATGTTCCTATATTTGGAACAGCATTAGCAGAGCTGTTCAGTATTGTGCTATTTATAATTTTTGATGATGGACAAGTGCCTGTAAGTGTAAATATTTTGAGGCTTAAATCACAGAGTCCAAGCATATTAGATTAGAAGGATTCTCCGATGTCATCTAGCTGGATCCTGTCCATTGTACATGATGCACTGATATTGACAATTACATGAAAATACTTCTATATGACAATATATGAAAAGCTGAAGTAGTGAACCAATGATGAAAATGGGAGTGCAGTTCACATACACTACAGGATTTTATTCTGATATTTGCTAGGGGCAATACTATTTACTGTACACCTATTTCTGATACATGTATAACTACTCCTCAGTACCACAGTGATCAATTTGCATATTGCTTCAAGCCAGGAAGCTCCCTGAAGGCATCCGCATCTTTTCCATTTTTATATATGTGGCAAATAGTAAGTCCTCCATAAATGTTTGTGGCAATAAACCCCAATTAAAACAAGCAAATGATAATGGCCACTGTCACCACAGTAACTCTTTCTGCCCACAGTTGGGTCAATCTCCAGATTTGTTGTTTTCAAGATAGGCGTTTAGGTTTATTTCTTGCCACTAGAGGGCAGGAAATGCTTTATAAAGGGCAGATGCAACCCCTCTCAACATGTTCGTTATTAGACACCCTAGGAATAAATAACGTCATCACAAGATCAAAGCTACCCCAAAGTCTAAAGCTCGCTAGCAAAGGTATGGCATTCTCATCTTTCCCTTCAAATCTCTTCACTTATTGATGAGTTTGGTTCAAGCTGATTCGTTTGGATTGTTATGTTTGTTCCTTTTCCTACAAAGGGAACCTCCTGCCACAAGCACATAAAAATGCCTCCATTAAAATACTTTGTAAACAACAACACCATAAAAATGCAGTAGTGGCATCCTTCTATTTATGAGACACCCAAAGACCTCCTTGCGTTTTTATTTGAGTTAGCCTTGCCGATCTAAGAACACTCAGCTTCCAGAAGCTAAAGTGAAATCCTTCCATGTCTTTGATCTCTGAGGTCATCAGAGAAGATCTTCTGAGTCCACACTGTTTTTTTGTTTTGTTTTGTTTTGTTTGCTGACTGCGGTAGATGATTCCAGATTTTTGACTGTGCTTTCGTTTTAAACTTTCTCCCCCTTTTGAAATCACAGTCCCTTCCAGCGTGAGTGGAGTGACGGTAAACAATTCTGGTCGGAATGACTACCTGAGCATTTCCTGGCTGCCGGCTCCTGGAGATGTGGATAACTATGTGGTGACACTCATTCATGGAAGCAGGGTGGTTCAGTCCCTCATTATTGCCAAGTCTGTCAGCGAATGTGCCTTTAGCTCCCTTACTCCGGGCCGCCTCTACAATGTGACCATAACTACAAGGAGCGGCAAGTATGAAAACCATTCCTTCAGCCAGGAGCGAACAGGTAAGGCTCTGAGGACAGCCAGGCTCTGGAAGGCTGGCCACATGGCTCAAGGCATCAGATCTGAAAAAATTCTGTAATGATAGGTTTAAAGGCTATTGAGATCACAGAATTGAGACAGTCTTCAAATTTTGACCCTAGAAATGCCTTATGTGAGCAGATGTTTCCTTTAAAGTAAGATGAGCACTCCTTTCGTGGCTAGAATTCATATTATGTTCAAATATAGTACCAAGTGTGTCCTGTTCAGGAAATACTTTTTGGTTGCTAGACACGGGCTTTAAGAATGTTAACTTACTTAATTCTTGCAAATTCCTCATTGAGATGGTTGTCATGATTCCCACTTTGCAGAGCAGTAAGTCAAGGTTCAGAGAGGTTAACTAACTTGCTCTGCTGTGTAGCTCTAGGGCCTAGGAAGTTCTGTGTCCTAAAATCCTTCCTGAAATGTCTGGTCAAAGTCCACTGTTCATTCTTTCTTACACAAGGTGAAAATGTTAATGTTAACCTTTATTGTTCTGAGACCAGGAGCAAAATCTTAGCAAAGGCAATGAATGACAGGACTTTGATGTGCTGGAAAGAGCTAAATTTAGACAGCTACCAGTTTCCCAATGTACTTAACACTTCGGGGGTTTACTACTGAGATTTCTGCTTAAGGTTAACGTTAATATTTTGTCAAGTCTTTCCTGCTGAGCTATAGGTTGATATTTGCATTTAAAAATGTCATGGTTTTTTTGACAAGGGAGTCAAGAATGCTCAGTGTAGGAAAGACCGTCTCTTCAATAAATGGCCTGAGATCATTGGATATGCACGTGTAAAAGAATGAAACTACACCACTCACAAAAATTAACTCAAAGTGAATTAAAGACCTAAATGTAACACCTAAAAATATGAAACTCCTAGAAGAAAACATACGAAGAAGTCTTTTTTACTTGGGTCTTGGTGGTGATTTTTTGGATATGACATATAAAGTATAAGCAAAAAGTCAAAGACAAACAAGTGGAACTACATCAAACTAAGAAGATTCTGCATAGCAAAAGAAACCATCAATAAAGTGAAGAAACAACCTATGGAATGGAAAAAAATATTTGCAGACCATCTATCTGATAAGTTGTGGTTAATATCTAAAATGTAAAGAACTCATACAATTCAATAGCAAAAAAGTAAATAATCCTATTTAAAAATGGGTAAAGGACCTGAAGAGTCATTTCTCCAAAGAAGATATACAAAAGGCCAACATGTACATGAAGATGGTCAACATCACTAGTCATTAGGAAAATGCAAATTAAAGCCACAATGTGATATTTCCTCTTGCTTGTTAGAATGGGCATCATCAAAAGACAGAGATAACAAATGCTGGCATGGATGTGGAGAAAAGGCAACCCGTGTGAACTGTTGGGGGTGTAAATTGGTACAGCTACTACTATGGAAAACAGTATGAAAGATCCTCAAAAAATAAAAACTATCACATGATCCAGCCATTCCTCTTCTGGGAATATATCCAAAGGAAACAAAATCAGTAGCTCAAAATGATATCTGCACCTTTGTGTTCATAGAAGAATTATTTACAGTAGACAAGACATGGAAACAATCTAAGTGTCCACCAGTGGATGAATGGATAAAGAAGTTGTGGTATATCTATGCAATGAAATACTATTCAGCCATAAAAATGAGGAAATCCTACCATTTGCAACAACATGGATGGATCATGAAGGCATTATGCTAAGTGAAATAAGTCAGAGAGAGAAAGGCAAATACTCTATGACCTGACTTATATGTAGAATCTAAAACTAAAGCAGAAAGAAACTCATAGATGGAGCACTTTGGTGGCTCAGTAGTTGAGCGTCTGCCTTTGGCTCAGGTTGTGATCCCGGGGTCCTGGGATCAAGTCCCACACTGGGCTCCCTGCAGGGAGCCTGCTTCTCCCTCTGCCTGTGTCTCTGCCTCTCTCTGTGTCTCTCATGAATAAATAAATAAAATCTTGAAAGAAAGAAAGAAAGAAAGAAAGAAAGAAAGAAAGAAAGAAAGAAAGAAAGAAAGAAACTCATAGAAAAAGAGGCAGAGGATGGGGGCAAAAGGAATTGGAAAAAGATGATCAACAGGTACAAACTTCCAGTTATAAGATAAATAAGTGCTAGGGATGTAAGGTGCCCCATGATGACTATGGCTAACACTGCTATGTGATATATAGGAATGTTGTTAAGAGATTAAATCATAAGAGTTATCATCATAATAAGAAAAATTTTCTCCTTTTTTCTTCTTTCTTTTCTTTTTATTGTATCTCTATGAGCTGATGGATCTCAGCTGAACCAACTGTGACAATCATTTCATAATATATATAAATGAAACCATTATGCTGTATGCCTTAAATTTATACAGTGATATATGTCAATTACTTCTCGATAAAACTGGAAAAATAATGACAAAAAAGAAATACTATAAAAAATGAATTTGTCAAATTTCCAAAACCAAAGTGAATGCACACTCACCTATGTTGAAAATTTCAAAATCACTTTTGACACGTTATCCTTTGCTAGGATCTGCTAATTTCCCCTACCACAAAATTTTCCACTGCCATGTCTTAATTTTGCTTTTCTTGCTGATAACCTGAACATGGTTCTTATTACTTAAATTTATAATGGGTCTCCTACACCTCTCCTCTGTCCACTTACCTCCATCATGCTTAGTATTAAAGCTATCCCATGTGTCCCTCTACGTTCCCATTCACCCTTTCTAGGAGACATTTAGTATTCGGTGCAGTTGTTTATATCTCTCCCTCTGTGATTGCCTCCATGTCCGGAACCATATATTTTTTGTGTTTCTCTCAATACCTGGCCCATATAAACACCCATAGTTTTACTGTTGTTGCTGAGTACAAGAATTAGCCAGTCATCTTCTGGACTCCAAAAGACCTTACAAAAATCTAAAACTATGAAATACATTTTATTTTTTCCACCAGGATCACGGCAACTGACATCATCCTATTACTTAGCACCAGGTCTGAAATCTAAAAGGCATTCAACAAATGTTTAATGAATTAATGATCAGAAATCACCTGAATCAGCAGCTTTAAGCTAGTGCTCCATGGGTAGATCTAAGGAATGTTAGGAATGTTATAACCCCTAAAACTGTTCATGAAGTTGTTGCAGATAGGAAAAGTATGTGTGTTTCCGAGGGGAGTGAGTGTGTGGCTCTTATCAAATGCTCAAACTTTCCATGACCTCAAAAAGGTTAAGAACCACTGATTTACATTGCTACAGCATCCTAACATTGAAAGTGTCTGTAGATTGATCTAATCTCATCTCATTAGGAGATAAAATCCCAGAGAGAAACTTCGCTTTTCCAAGGTCACATGGCTGACCAGTAATCAACCTCAACCTAGTTCCAGCACTACTTCCATTACATCATGCTATCCTTGAAAGCATTGGTCAGGGATATAAAGAGCTATTCCCTACTCTCATATAATTTAAAAATTAATTTTACTGATAATCACAATAATGCCTGAGATCTGAAAAGTAGATTTCCATTTATGAAGCAGCCTTATTTTTTTTTTTTAATTTTTATTTCTTTATGGTAGTCACAGAGAGAGAGAGAGAGAGGCAGAGATATAGGCAGAGGGAGAAGCAGGCTCCACGCACCAGGAGCCCGATGTGGGATTCGATCCTGGGTCTCCAGGATCGCGCCCTGGGCCAAAGGCAGGCACCAAACCGCTGCGCCACCCAGGGATCCCTGAAGCAGCCTTATGTCACTGTCTTATGTTGACCAACTTGGAGCCTAAAAATCACCAGAATCAAAGGATATGTCATCCAACTACTAACCCCTTGCTTCCCCTCCATGTCAACTCATGAATGTTTCCTATCCATCTGACCTTCATATTGAAAGCCTTTTGCTAAGATTGTTTTTAGTTGCAAGAAAAACAACCCTTTATTCAAAGCACCCTCTTGACTCTTTACCAGCATGAACCTGGATGTGATGCGTGACTAATCAAGGCAATCCATTCGCCCCCAACAAATCAGTTTAACTCTAGAGTCGTGTCTGAGATGCTGTCTTGTTGATTTTGGCTGATGATGTCGAAGCCCTTTCCCTTTTCTAATGCATTTTGGGTGAAAATATTGATCTTTCTAATTCTGTATCACATCAACTCATTGTGCATCAAGGCAGGTCTCATAAATTACCTCCAATTCTACCTGGAGAGCCCCTTATTGACTTAGCATGGTATGGAGCTTGGTTTTGCTTCCTGTAATAGTGGCTTTGTCTTCAATAAATTGCCTGGGTCATTGACTTTTCTTACTTAGCCCATGCATAGAAACTTCAGAATTTCTTTTCCTGTACTCTGTGATGAATAAATTCTAGCCACATTGTAATTGGTTCCGGTAAATATCTTGAAGAAAGCACACCTGTCCTGGCTTCGTGTCCACAGTGAGGTCTATTCTAATACAAAAACTAACCAGTACCCACACCACCAACAAAAGATGATAAAATGCAACTCATAGATGTGAGGAGCATCATGGCAAATATGGCTTAGATGCCAAAATATTGAAATTTCTGTATCATTTCATGCTTTGAGGGAAAGTGGAAGAGAAGCCTTGGACACCGGCTTTGTCCAGTTGGTTGATCAATTGATAGATTGGTTGAGAGAAAAACCACAGGCACACAGTGTTTATTTGTTTGTGTATTTATTTATCGGGGAAACCTCAGATGCCCAAAATTGGATTAATCATAATTCTTGGTTCAAGAAAACATGTTTTGTCACTTCTATTTTTTTTTGGCTTCCAATTTAATTTAGGCATTTAATTAATCATTTTTAATAATTTCATCTGCACCTGAGAAACCACTACCCAAAATAAAAGCTAGAACCTTGACAATAATCTGTATCAAATCATGTGGTTCCCACTTCACTGATTAATCCCCAGGTAGCCATCATCCTGACTCCTATTTTCATCTCTTTTCTTGCCTTTCATCTTGCATAGTTTTCTTATTTATATAGTCCTAAAATAACAGGTTTAAAAATTTTTTAGCTATTCTAACATTTTTAAAAGGTTATTTTATGTAGTATGTAATCTCTTGAGACTTAGTTTTTCAATTGATATTGATAAGATTTACCTATATTTTGTGTTTTAGCTTTAAAGGCAAAAGATCCACATTTTTGCATTTTGAGTTCAAAAGAAAGTAATTCTGACTGCTATATAATCTCACTGTGTACATATACCAGTCCATTCACCTACTCTTCTTGCGTGATTGGACATCCTGTCTCGTACTCAGTCTTTTTTTTTTTAAGATTTTATTTATTCATTCATGAGGGACAGAGAGAGAGACAGAGAGAGAGAGGCAGAGACACAGGCAGAGGGAGAAGCAGACTCCATGCAGGGAGCCGGACATGGGACTCGATCCCAGGACTCCAGGATCAGGTCCTGGGCTGAAGGCAGGCGCTAAACCGCTAAGCCACCCAGGGATCCCCCTCTCATACTCAGTCTTATCAGGTGTTTAATTTTGGCCAACTGTATGGATATAAAATGATATTTTGCTGTGGTCTTGAATGGCATTTCCCTGATCACCAATGATGTTAGGCATCTCTTCATGTATTAATTATGTGTTTCCTCTTCTTCCATTTTTCTTTTGGATTGTTTATACTCTTCCTGGTAACTTTTTATCACATCTTGAGTCACTAAGGTGTGTTAGAATTATTAATATCATCGCCATCATTCTTATTAATCATCGGTTATCATATTTAATGTTCCATCTTGTACATGACATTTTGTGTAGGCAAGAAACAAGATTAGAATTAGTTCATCAGATTCTGTAAAAAGAGCCATTTAATCATTCCAAGTAGTGTAACAATCCTTCCCCTCCAGAAATGTGTGATCTAAAGGTCTAAAACTTCTCTTTCCAGTGCCCACCGAAAGAAATCTACTCACTTAGCTTTCCTGTCCCAGGTGGTCATCTGTGATCAATTACTTCCTTACATTCACTAAATCTTCATCTGTTCTCTGTTCTCTTTTTCAGTGCCTGACAAGGTCCAGGGAGTCAGTATTAGCAACTCAGCCAGGAGTGACTATTTAAAGGTCTCCTGGGTGCACGCTAGTGGAGACTTTGATCACTATGAAGTCACCATTAAAAACAAAAACAACTTCATTCAAACCAAAAGCGTTCCCAAGGCTGAGAACGAGTGTGTATTTGTTAAGCTAGTCCCTGGACGGTTGTACAGTGTCACTGTTAGTACAAGAAGTGGACCATATGAAGCCAGCGAACAAGGGAATGGAAGAACAAGTAAGTGGAAAAGAAGACTGTAAACCCTGATGGGTGATTGGGACTTGAAGGCCATTGAGTAAATAAAGGATCTGAACCTTGAATTCTCTCTGCTTACTGATCAGTAAATTACATTCCCAGTCTCACTGGGAACATCATTCAGTCAAGCCATGGCCTCTAATTCCAGAATATTTATTGGTAGATAAAAGCAAGCATAGTCAGGGAGCAAGAAGGCCAAATGTCCCATTTTTCTTCCCTGTCCCACCACATCGTGGCATTAAAGTTCTAAGCATCTTGTTTCATCTTATGATTGAGGTCATAATCCACTTGATACTTATATCCTACCAGCACTTAGCATATAAGATTCATATCAGGAAAAAAAATACAATTTTAAGAGTTGCTTCCAATTTTTCTTATTTAATTCTTATGCATGAAGTGGCTCAAGTGGTTTCTTTGGGGAAGAGAGATATTTGCCAGTTCCTTGAATGTGATGCATCCATTATTGTGTTTGAACCATCACTTTCCTGAAGGGCCTTTCTTATATTCCTCCCTAGTCCCAGAGCCTGTTAGGGATCTAACACTGCGGAATAGGAGCACTGAAGACCTTCTGGTGACTTGGTCCCGAGCTGATGGGGATGTAGACCAATATGAGATCCAACTGCTTTTCAATGATATGAAAGTTTTCCCTCCTTTTCACCTCGTAAATACTGCAACCGAGTATCGCTTCACCTCCCTGACACCGGGGCGCCAGTATAAAATCCTTGTCTTGACCATCAGTGGAGAAGTACAGCAGTCAGCCTTCATTGAAGGCTTCACAGGTAATTTGAAATGTGGCTCTTGAACTTGAGTAGGTGCGGTGGTATGTTCAGCATGCTGGGTAGCCAGGAGTTTTGGTTGAGGATTTTAGGGCAAAGGGGAGATGGCAAGAAGCGAGGTTATCTTGATGATAACAATGATGTTGTCCACGCTGGACAACAAAAGTATGACGTAGGGTGAGTAAAAAAGGCTTTCAGAGAAATAGCATTGGACTGATGTGAATAGCTGGTGCTTGTAAGGCATATAGATCAGATAAAAATAACTCTGTTGGTTGGGTTTCCTTTGAAGTGTTGTTATGATCGTTAACATTTATCGACAGTTTACTGTGAACCAGACCCACAGCAGAGCACTTTATGTGTACGTTTTGTTCAATCCTCACAACTCTGTGGGCTGGTTACTATCACTATAATTGCCATTTTTCTGATGAAGAAACGGAAACTTACTGAGATGAGTAATTTGCCTATAGTTGCACAGCTAGTATAAATGAGAAAACCAAGACTTGGAGCAAGGCCATCTGCCCCTGGCTCTGTACTGGCATTCTTCATTTCTCCTCACTGGCTTCAATGTCCCTCTAGATTTCCCCTATTAAATTCAGTTCAGGCAGGAAAGTCCAAAGGAAATGGTATCAATATACCTCGTGAATTCTTTTAAGACATGCCAAAATACAAGAAGCATGACAATGTTGGTTGAAAATTCCCCTAATTCATTCTCTAAATGATGACTTTTAAATTTATTTTCCTTTTTAGTTCCAAGCGCTGTCAAAAACATTCACATTTCTCCCAACGGGGCGACGGACAGCCTGACAGTCAACTGGACTCCTGGTGGGGGCGATGTTGATTCCTACACCGTGTCAGCCTTCAGGCAAAATCAGAAGGTTGAGTCTCAGACCATCTCCAAGCATGTCTCTGAGTACACATTCCAGCGGCTGGAGGCTGGAGAACTGTACCAGATTGTGATCGCCTCGGTCAGCGGGTCCCTCAAGAACCAGATAGACGCAGTGGGGCGGACGGGTGAGTGCCCACCTGGAGAAGAGCCAAATTGTTCTCCATAACGGGATGACACATGGGCTGGCTTAGCCACTCACAGTCAAAAATATCTAAATTCAAAGCCGTAATTTGATGTGGTTTCAAGAGCCCTTCTCATATTTTCTTTTTGCATTTTTCTTTATTAACAGAGATCTTCAAAACAAAAGAAAGGTAATGAGGAGCCAAATCATTTGAACAAATTTTCACGCTTGCTAAAGGATATAAAAACTTTCATAGACATCTCTATTTACAGTAACTCTTTACACGTAAATATTTATTATCTTCTGTAAAATTTACCCCTTTCTCAAATTTTTTTAAATGAACACCCATGCCATTTACTTCATTTGTTATAAGAACAAGTAACAAATGAAGAAATGATGTGTCCATTTATGTTAACATTACCAATAATATATTACTTTTAAAACACAAATAAGCTAAAAGCACCTGCTATCTGGCAGACATTTAAAATGATCTCTATTCATCTTTCGGTGGACACTGAGGCTCCTTCCACAGTGTGGCTACTGTGGACATTGCTGCTATAAACATTGGGGTGCAGGTGTCCCGGCGTTTCATTGCATCTGTATCTTTGGGGTAAATCCCCAGCAGTGCAATTGCTAGGTCACAGGGCAGATCTATTTTTAACTCTTTGAGGAACCTCCACACAGTTTTCCAGAGTGGCTGCACCAGTTCACATTCCCACCAACAGTGCAGGAGGGTTCCCCTTTCTCCACATCCTCTCCAACATTTGTGGTTTCCTGCCTTGTTAATTTTCCCCATTCTCACTGGTGTGAGGTGGTATCTCATTGTGGTTTTGATTTGTATTTCCCTGATGGCAAGTGATGCAGAGCATTTTCTCATGTGCATGTTGGCCATGTCTATGTCTTCCTCTGTGAGATTTCACTTCATGTCTTTGCCCATTTCATGATTGGATTGTTTGTTTCTTTGCTGTTGAGTTTAGTAAGTTCTTTATAGATCTTGGAAACTAGCCCTTTATCTGATACATCATTTGCGAATATCTTCTCCCATTCTGTAGGTTGTCTTTGAGTTTTGTTGACTGTATCCTTTGCTGTGCAAAAGCTTCTTATCTTGATGAAGTCCCAATAGTTCATTTTTGCTTTTGTTTCTCTTGCCTTCGTGGATGTATCTTGCAAGAAGTTACTGTGGCCAAGTTCAAAACGGGTGTTGCCTGTGTTCTCCTCTAGGATTTTGATGGAATCTTGTCTCACATTTAGATCTTTCATCCATTTTGAGTTTATCTTTGTGTCTGATGCAAGAGAGTGGTCTAGTTACATTCTTCTGCATGTGGATGTCCAATCTTCCCAGCACCATTTATTGAAGAGACTGTCCTTTTTCCAGTGGATAGTCTTTCCTCCTTTGTCGAATATTAGTTGACCATAAAGTTGAGGGTCCACTTCTGGGTTCTCTATTCTGTTCCATTGATCTATGTGTCTGTTTTTGTGCCGGTACCACACTGTCTTGATGACTACAGCTTTGTAGTACAACCTGAAATCTGGCATTGTGATGCCCCCAGCTATGGTTTTCTTTTTTACATCTAGTCCATCTTACAGAGGAGGAAAGTGAGGCTCAGAAGGCTTATAAAACTTCATCAAGGATACATGTAATAAGACCAAGAGTGATAACTCAAAACTAGGTCTGTCTGGCTCCAAACCTTATGCCTTCTCTACTTTGATACAAACTTGTAACATGTCTTCCATTCCCACAACCATTCATTTAGTTGTGCAGCCTGGGCTTCTAGACTGTGCCCTACTGTGTCTTGATTTCATATATGTATCTCTCCAACCGCATGTCAAGCACTGTGTTAGAAAATGGGAATTCAGTAGCAAGATAGAGCCCCCACCTCAAGAAGCTTATCATCTAGTGAAAGAGACAGAGAAATGAAAAGGCGTTTACAACATGATGACTTCTAAAATAAAAGCAATAGTGGGGCGTGTCAGGAGCAAACATGAAGGAAGAGTCGGGGAAGGCTTCCAGGAAAAAGTAACATTTAAATAGACATTAAGAAGTCATACTGGTGTAAAAAAAAAAAAAAAAAAGTCATACTGGTGCCCCATATGTTGACTTGGTTCCAGCAGAAAAAAACAAAGGCCTGGAGGTGAGAGAAAGCCTGGCACATTTGAGGACCTACATACTACAGCGTATGTTAGAATAAAGATGAGCCATATGGCTAAGTAAGTAGATGGACCGAGTCATGAAAGGCCTCCTATGCCTTGGAAGGTGTTTAGAATTATGGAGAGCCATTGAAGGGCCATTTGCATGGCGCTGCTATGAGAATATGCCAGATACAGTGTGGGAGGCGAGGAAGCAAGGGCACTGGTCAGTCATGTAGTGGGGGATACTATTGTCCTAGGGCAGTGGTAGTGGACAGAGAAGGGAGAGAAGTGGATACACCAAAGGGATATAAGTTTTAGGACATAGATATTACAAGACCCATGTTGGATTACATGTGGAAGAATAAGAGTGACAACCCACATTTCTGACTTGTACCAAGCGAAGCGAAGGACAATGAGGAGGTTATGGGGAGGGAGCTAAGGAGTCCAATTTGGGCCTCTTGAGAATTGGATGGAACATGCAGGGAGAGATGTCATTTGCAAAAATAGAAGAGAGATCTGAACTGCAAGTTTAAATTTGGGAGTCGTCACCATATGGGTAACAATTCAAACCATGGGAGTGGATGAGATGTAAGATTATGTAGAATGAGAAAAAATATGAGCCTAGGACAGAAAATATTATGAAAAATAATACTATTTTGCCTTTCACATCGAGAACTATAGTAAAGAAAAATTATTATACACTACTACTTAGGTCAAGGCTGAAAGCTTTGACTCGAGGTAATCTTGGGAATGAAAGTCTAAACATAATTCCGCCATTTATACTATATTCACTGAATGTAAATTTGTTCAGCATCTTCCACTTTCTAGATACATAAATATGAATCACTTTGCATATTTATCAGTGTCACTTTCGCTAATTTTTCTACTTGTTTGACTTCAAGATCCTGTCTAAATTCAGAGGAAATAATGGAGACTCAAAGCAGGTGTACAGATAATTCGGGCCAAGAAATGCTTCCTCCTAAGGGCACATGGAAAGTGTCCACACAACACGAGTGAAGCGGTGCCATCGTCTTCTCCCTGCAGTCGATTTAAAGTTTTTCTCAACTGGTTTCTCAGTTGGTTTACCCTAAGTAAGGGAACCTGACAGCCCTCGCCTCTCTTCTCCCTTTGCAGTCCCAGCATCTGTCCAAGGAATCATTGCAGACAATGCATACAGCAGTCATTCCTTAACAGTGAGTTGGCAAAAAGCCATTGGTGTGGCGGAGAGGTATGAGATCCTGCTTCTAAATGACAATGGGATCCTTCTGAGTAACACATCAGAGCCAGCCACCACCAAGCAGCACAAATTTGAAGACCTAACGCCAGGAAAGAAATACAAGATACAGATCCTAACCGTCAGCGGAGGGCTCCTCAGCAAGGAAGCCCAAACTGAAGGCCGAACAGGTAATGTGCACAGCTTGTTGTCTCGCCCCAGATCCCTCCCTGGGTGCTGCTCCTTCAGAGTCACAGGGTCAGAGGGCCGAGGCCACACGGGGAGATGATATCTATTTCTTGACACAATGGGGACATTCACGGTGATTTATCACTTTCCCATCAATCAGCCTCTTCACGCGGGCTTCACCTACCCCACTCCAAGTTAGATAGATTCCTAAAACCTACTGCCGCTGTGATGAATTACCACCAATTCAGTGGCTTAAAACAACACCAGTATATTATCATAGTTCTGAAGGTCAGCATCTGGAAGTGGGTCCTCGGGGGCTAACGTCAAGGCCCTGGGTATCGGCAGGACTGTATTTCTCCTAGAGACTTTAGGGGGAGATCCTCTCCTTGCCCTTTTCAGCTACCAGAAGCCACTCACATTCCTTGCCTCATGTCCCCCTTCCAGCAATGGCATTGCTGTCCAACCTCTGTGTATGTCACCATATCTCTTTCTCGACTCTTCTGCCTCCCTCTTCCATCTTTTCAGGAGTCTCGTGATTACATTGGTCACCACCCGGACAATCCAGCATAAGCTCCCTGCCTCGAGATGCTTAACTTAATCACATCTATAAGGTCCCCTTTGCCACATAAGGTAACATATTCCCAGGTTCTGGGGACTAGGACGTGGACATCCGTGGGGGTCATTCTTCAGACCACAATGCTGGTCTAATGGATTACTTACTCACTAAGGAGCTAGGTCTGAAGAGGGGTGGGTGATGCTGACAGGGACATAAAGATGAACGAGGCATGCTCTGTCCTGAAGAGCTGGCTGACTGGTGGGGGAGACAGACACATAGACAAAGGATGATAGTACGTGGTGACAAGGATCGTGTAGAAGAAAGAATGCCCAACATCCAGAGGAGCATGGGGGTTGGGTTGAATGGGGAGGTCTTCATAAAACTGGCATTTCAGTACTATCATGAAGGATGAGACAGTCCTGCCTGTGGAGAGAAGATAGAAGGGCACACTGTGCAGACAGACAATCCTATGTCAAGATAGGGAGGTGTGAGAAGGACTAGCAAGGAGCCGTGGATGGAGGAAATATGGGTGGCACAATGGGGATTGGGGCCAGATTAGAGAGTGCCTGGCTTGTCTTCCTCAGGAGTTTATTTTTCAACTTGTAAGAACTGAGGAGACCCTACAGGGTTTTATGCCAGAGAGTGAGTGTTGTGTAATAACAATTTGTGCCTTAAAGAAGGTAAATCAGATGGCAATGGCAGATAGAGTGAATGGAGAAGAGACTCACTCATTCATTCATTCGTCACTGAGCACCTACGATGTGCCAGGCACCTTTCTAAATGCACAGAAGTGTATAAAGCAAACCCTGATGGTCATGAAACTCATACTCTAGGAGGGTAGAAAGGCAACAAACAAAATAAGCAAAGAATGTAGTAGGTTAGGTGGTGGTGAACACCAAAGAGAAAATTAAATCAGGAAAGGGAATGGCAAGTGTTAGAGGCTTACAATTGTAGGTAGTACGGTCCTTGGAGGTTTTGTCGAGAAGGTGATATTTGAGTAAATGTCTGAAAGAAGGGAGACAAAGGATTATGCAGGTATTTGGCAGAAGAGTATCCCTACGCAAAGCCAACGGCAAGGCGGAGACTCTGAAGCAGAGTGTGTCTGGCCTGTTGGACCGGTCAAGAGGCCAGGATAGCTGGAGCACAGTGAGTGAGAACAAGGTGGGGGGATGTGGTCAGAAAGGTACTTGGGGCCATAAGATGATTGCAGTTATAGGAATGATAAGAAATATTTCCTCATTAGATAAGCTGGCACTTGGGGGTCTGAGTAGAGTACAGAAGGAAGAACGGAAGATTCCAGAATTGCTACCTGGGGGTATCTGGTAGAGGATGATGCCATTAATCAAGATAAGAGAAGCCAGAGGAGGGGAAATGGACAGGGTTCGGTTCTAGACTGAGTTTAAGATGTCTGAATGATTTGCCATAAGAGATGATCATAGGTAACTGAAAATATGGCCCAAGCTCAGAAAAGTGAGCCGAAGATAAGTATTTGGACGAAAATTCTAGTTAAATCCATGTCTTAGTCTAAGGCTGCTCTAACGAAAATACCATAAACTGGGTGGCTTGAACAACAAGCCTGTATTTCTCACAGTTCTATAGGATGGAAGTCCAAGATCAAGGCACCAGCAGATTCAGGTCTGGTGAGGGCCCATTTTCTGGTTCATAGATGGTGTCCTCTTGCTGTGTCTCACATGATAGAAGGACAAAGAGAGAGCTCTCTGGGTCTCTTTTATAAGGGCTCCACCCTCATGACCCTGATCACCTCCCAATGGCCACATTCCCTAATACTGTCACCTCAGGGGTTGGGTTTCAACATATGAGTTTGGGGGTGGAGGGGACATAAGCATTCACACTGTAGCAATCCATAAATTGGACGAGAGGGGTTGCTCAGCTAGCGTTATGGAATATGAGGGGAACAAAGGATGGCATGCTGGGAAATACCAACTTTTAAGGACCTGGTGCAAGGAGAGGGAGAGGTTAAAAGAGAAAGTGTTTGGCGTGGAAGGAGGAGAACCCAGGAGGGACCAAGGCAGGTGTCCTGTCCTGTTTCCACTGGTACCCCACGACTTCTGTGGAATTGGGCAGCACCAGTGCAGGCAGCTTGGCAGCAGTTCATTTCTGGTGCCTCTTGATCACTTTGCCAACAGATACCACTGAAGGCCAAGGGGGTCATCAAATCCCAATGTAAATCTTTTTTAAAAAAAATGGTTTTGGCTTTTCCTCTTGCTTCTCTTTCCTCTATCCCTGAATCGAATCACCTGCTTTCTCTTTCTCTCCCACTGCTCTTCCCTCCCTGCTGCCCTTACCCCCAAGGGCCATTCCTCAGCTTTGAGACAGCGGTCAGAGATCATTTTTTGATTTCTGATCTAGCTCTTAGTATTAGAAAAATGTTTAGTCACACAGGTCAGATTAACCTTTATTTTATACCCCCCCCCAAAAAAAACGTCTTTGAAGATAATTTCCCATTACTGGTTTTTCTTTGTTCTCTTGGGGTTTTTTTAGGGGTTTTGTTTTGGTTTGGTTTGGGTTTTTTCATTAGCAGCTTCAACATCATTAATGCACAAAATTCAGTCTTCCTTGCTTTGGGTCTCCATGAAGTCGATATTTTCTGAAGGCAGAGACCAAGTATTTTGAGTCGCTGTGCTGTGTGTCCACGTGGACCACAGACCTGGGCTGTGTCAGGGGGCTTGCTGTAACTCAGTCTCACTCTCTCGCTCAACATTTCCAGTCCCAGCAGCTGTCACCAATCTGAGGATCACAGAGAACTCCACCCGACACCTGTCCTTCAGCTGGACCACCTCAGAGGGGGAGCTCAACTGGTATAACATCTTTCTCTACAACCCAGACCGAACGCTTCAGGAGAGAGCTCAAGTTGACCCACAAATCCAGAGCTTCTCTTTCCAGAACTTGCTACAAGGCCGAATGTACAAAATGGTGATTGTCACTCACAGTGGGGAGCTGTCTAATGAGTCTTTCATATTCGGTAGAACAGGTAAGACCTGGCCCCGAGCGGGAATGTGTATGGCAGGGAAATCGTGTCGGTATTCTCTGACTGTTCCATCATTTGTCCTTAGAGTTTCCTATTGTGGACGTGGCCTAGCTCTATGTGACCTTTGTGACCTTCAGGCTTCTTGACTCTAAATCGGACCTCTGATCACATACAAGCATAGCTTCCGCACTGGCTTCTGCTCTCTTGCCACCACTGTGGGCATCTTAGGGTTTGGTGGAGAAATGAACCTGGCTCCTCTGTTTGCCAGCACGCTGCCGCGAGAGGGCTGTAAGCCAGTGTGGCCCGACTCAAGCCGTGCCCTTCAGGCCTGTGCAAGACATGCGGGCAGTGGAGGAGTGGGGGGCAGCTCCAGAGCCGGGCCTCTGCCAAAGGGACCGAGCAGTGAGTGCTGGGAGGCAGAGACAGGGCTGCGAGAAAGAACACGACGCGTTGCAGGGAAAGGAGAGACAGAGACCTCTCTGTGGGCTGCCAGTGACACACGGAGTGCACTCTTTTCTGTAATCTGAGTTCACTCTCTTATTCTTCTGTTATTTTTTTTTTCTCATTTGACGATGGTGTTTGTGTGCTTTGCATGCCAGGCACGGGCTGAAGAGGCCCCTGACCTGGGGAGCTCAAATTGGTGGGGGACGGGGGCGCCCATAGCATGCTCTTGAGGGAGGTGACTGGGGACACCTGCAGGCCTGGGAAAGAGATAAGCAGCACATAGTGACGGTGACTTAGCAGGACTAGACAGCATTTTAGACAGAGGAAGCCCTGTGCGGAGCGCCTCCCAGCACCAGCCGAGGCTCTGAGCATGTCCTGGGGGAGACGGTGCACACGAGCCACAGATCCGGGACCGCCTAGACCCGGGCACAGTTGTCTCGGCCTTGCCTTCGCCAGGGCCTCCGCCCTCCACACATCTTCCCTTATCTGCTCACTAATGTTTAAAGTTCCTCCATCAAGAGACAAGAGTCTTCACTCTCTGGAGAATAAGGAAGCTTAAATACCCACAGGACAGGTGCCAGCGTGACAAAGTCACACGGCGGTAGACGTGACTGCTAACACTCTTTTCCCAAGCGAGGCTCTCCCAATATAGATTTGGGTGGGAAAGGGAGGAGGAAACTGGGAACCTACGAGAGCAAGTGGAGAGGCCCAGAAGGGGAGGTGATGGGCCGAGGGGCCTGGGTGAGATGCCAGCCTGGAAGGGGCTGCGACCTCCTGTGAACACTTTTGGGGCCTTTTAGAAGCCGAGGTATAAACCGTTTGACCAGTTTTAACCAGTCATTTCTGAAGATCTCATTTGAGATGTTTATCAGACCTCGTGTGGCAAGCAGATAGAAGCCACCACCTGTGGGGCTTTGTGTTATTTCCGTTTGTACCACATCTTAGACCACGTGCCCCTAGAGTGACGTGCCCCGCAATCCAGGCAAGATCTGGCTTCTACAACAGGTGCCTCTCACCCAAGTGCCCAACAGAGCTCATATTCTCAGCTGTAGGCCAGATGGCTTTGCAGCTGCCTCCTGTGTTCTCAGTCAAGGTTTCCACTGTGCTTAAGTCCCAGCTTCTGTGAGTAACCTCAGGGGATCTAATCGGAACATGACAGACAGTCTCTGGTTCAGCTGGAGTCCAGCCTCCGGGGACTTCGACTTTTATGAACTGATTCTCTACAACCCCAATGGCACGAAGAAGGAGAACTGGAGAGACAAGGACCTAACAGAATGGCGTTTCCACGGCCTCGTTCCTGGACGGAAGTACACGCTGTGTGTGGTAACTCACAGTGGGGACCTCAGCAACAGGCTCACGGGGGAGAGCAGAACAGGTAAGGAGCCCGCTTGCCCAAGGCTAGTATTGGTAGGACAACGAGTTATGGTTTTAAGAAGAAAGAAGATCCATCATGGTGTGCCCCTGACCTTGGCAAGGCACCATGATATGGTGGATAAAGGAAACAGACCTTCTCCACTGCACCACGAGAGATCTAGGAACAAGGTCTAGGGCCTTAGCTCTGCCACTTGCCTGCGTGATGCTAGGAAGGTCATGGAGCATCTCGAAGTCTCAGTTTCCTTATCTGTAAAGTGGGGATTAATACATGCCTCATCATTGCGTTGCTATGGGCGACGCTTCCTAAGTATCGTATTTCCTGGGCATACGCAGATAGTGTTAGTCTGCATGCCACCCTGGGGCCAAGGAACAAGGCTATCTGGACAGGACTGTGTGGACTGTAGCCCTCACACCTCAAACTCTAACAGAACCCGTACCTTTTCACACTTGTAACCCATTTAGGGCCCACCCCTGCTCCACAGCACCCTGGTAAGAAAACTCAGGTTATGAAAAGTAAAGAAAATGCACAGAACACATTTGAGGACAGCACCTGACACATAGTAAACACTAGAGATAGAAGCTTCTATTGTTAGGTTTTCCCATTATCTCTTCCTATGAGGCACATTGAGGTATGTCTGATGTCACTCAGCTCTCTTAGCTGTAGCTGTTATGGCAGAGACATGTTTATGTGATTTTTTTTTTCACCTTCTCTTACATGCAGCCCCAAGTCCTCCCAGTCTTATGTCATTTGCGGATGTTACAAACACCTCCTTGGCCATCACCTGGAAGGGGCCCCCAGACTGGACAGACTATGATGACTTTGAGCTGCAGTGGTCCCCACGAGATGCAATCACGGTCTTCAACCCCTACAGCAACAGAAAATCAGAAGGACGCATCATACATGGTCTTCGTCCAGGCAGATCCTATCAATTTAGTGTCAAGACTGTCAGTGGTGACTCCAAGAAAACCTACAGCAAGCCAATATTTGGATCTGTGAGGACAAGTATGACATGTTTTGCTACTCTTGGTTCTCAGACGGAGTGAGGGGGAAGTATGTGTCGTGACATCTTATTCCAGTGAGGTTCATTTTTAATTTTTTTATTTTTTAAAGATATTATTGATTTATTCATGAAAGGCACAGAGAGAGGCAGAGACACAGGCAGAGGGAGAAGCAAGCTTCCTGCAGGGACCTGATACAGAACTCGATCCCAGGCCCCCGGGATCACGATCTGAGCCAAAGGCAGATGCTCAACCACTGAGCCACCCAGGTGCCCTTGAGACTTTGTTTAAACTTACATTTTTCTTTGTGATTGGTTAGATTTGAATTCAGACAGAGGTCTGTATAGACTTGTTCATGGGGTTGAGTGGGAAATGTGAGGAAGGAGTATTTGGCTCTATAGAAACTCATGGTAGGGGCATCTCACTCAATACAAGGGAGCTTCCTAGAAGAAGAAGCCTCCAAATCAAAACCTAAGAGAAGAATAAGATTCACCAGGTTGATATGGGGAAAGAAATGGAGAATATGCTAGACAGAGAATAAAATATTCCAAGACCAGGCAGGATAGAGGAATGGAAAGGATTTGCATTGACCAGAGCATAAAAGGTGAAGATTAGGAGAATCGGGTCATAAAATGTCTTGTGAACCAGGGGGAGTGACTTTAACTTTATCTCCAATCGATTGGAGTCACTGAGGGATGTGCATCTGAGATATCATAACCAGATTTGCACTCTGGGTACAGTGTGGAGTATAGATTGAAAGGGGCAAACTAGAAACAGAGGGATCAGTTAGGACATATTGCTGTAAATCCCGCAGATAAAAATACTTCAAGCATGAAATACATATCAGTTTCTTCCCAAAGGCACTTTGGGATAGTTGCAACAAAGCCCAAAGAAACAAAGGTTTTCGGTACAGGAACCTCAATCCAAATAGCTATTTTTCAATGATACCAGCATATGTAGTTTCAAAGATTGGATCAGATCGTGGTTGTTGATAAAATACATGGTTGAAAATTAGAAATTTTAGCAAGTAGTCGTTTCACCTATTCAACAGACATTAATGGTAGAGTAATTATAACTTGCGCTCCGCATCGTATCCAAAGAGCAGTTTGAGGTTGCCTAGTTGAGTGTCAGGAGAAATCGGTGAAAAAGAACTAAGGATTTTCATTTACAGCAAGCTCAGGACGGGCTCTTGGTGGTCCACTGTGGGCCATAACCCTCGTGTTATGGATCATCCCATGACTCCGGGTCTCACGCATACGCTCCAGCCATGATGAACAACTTGTAACTCCTGATCTTCCACCTTCCCAGCCCCCAGCCCCACCCCGGGTGCCTGGGTTCGTGCTCTCCTCTGCCTAAAGGCCCCTTTCCCAGTATCTTGGGGAGGTCATCTCTGCCAGAAAGTCTTTGCTAACTCCTGCCCACCTCTAACTCGGGAAAGTTGTCTAGCGCTCCATCCGGCACCTTCTTTCTCCATTTCTTCTGGCACATTCTCCTTTCTCCCCTGTATTATGGCTTGTTTGGACTCCTGTCCCTTCCTAGAGGTTCGGGCTAATCCCTCACTCACTTCCACATTGTTCACAGTCCTTAGAAGAGCGCCTTGCATATAGCAGACACTTATTTCTTGAGGACAGGGGATGTGCCCCGAGGTCTTAGAAGATTTATAAGCTTTGGAGGCAGACAGGAGAGGGGAGATGGAACTGAAGAAAGAGGTGGAAGCAAATTTCCATATTATTCTTTGAGCAAATTATCGGAATCAAGAATCAGGCAGGGTGTTTTTAAAGACTTTCTCCAAGGCTAAACAGAGAAGGTGTCTTTGGGTTCCAGCTGTGGTCTGGTTGGAAGGAGCTCGAAAGATTAAGGAGCAGTTAGTGTTTGAAAAGACGCCATTACTGCTCGCCTCAAAGGCCAATTGCCTCATCCTGAAAAATCTTCAGGTTGATGACTTTTTTTCCCCCAAATCATTCTAATCTAAACTGTTATGACTTAGCAAAATATTTTAGACCTTGATGTGAAACACAAATTCATGCAGTGGCACAAGGATGCTGAGAGTTTCCAACTCATGATTGTTAGGGACAAAAAGTCCTATGACAAAGGAGAAGGCGGGTTGTATGCTGAATCGGAGCAACAGCTGCTGCTCCGTGAGGGATTACTAGGTCTATACAACGTTCCTGGAAGATCACTATGATCTATTCTGCAAGCAGGGCCAGGGCCACCAGCTGTGCAGGTACACAGGCCCCATGCTTAGAGGGACCCCTCACTTGGTTTAATTTTCTGTTGCCACCACCTGGAAATCTTAATATTTTGAACACAAGGCATTGCATTTTCACGTGGCATTGGACCCTGAACGTTATGTAGCCAGTCCTGTCTACAAGGTTTATGCACAAAACATATATTTTAATTTGGGGAGGAAGGGCAGGTGGGAAAAAAAGAGAAAAGGATGAGATTTATAACAGGGACTATAAAAACCCAACAGTAAATTGGAAGGTGTTTTTCCCATTTGGTGTCCTAAAGGTCAAACAGAACTGTCTTCAGCCTTATTTTTTTTTTAATCCCTCCCCACATTATGCAGTGCTCTTGTGAGCCTTTCTGATGGAGTGATGCCACTGATTAGTGCCATCTGAAAATTGTTACTGTATTTTCCACCGTGGTCAATGAAACAACGGGCAGGCTTTTATAATTAAGTATTTATCAAGACTTTTGACTCCTGGAATGAAATAGGGTGGTCTAGAACTAGATTTTCAAGTGCTATTCAAGAGCCTGAAGGCTCCTCAGATATCCCTATGGACAGAGGACTAGCCAAGGAAGGGAAGTCTTAGGGAGGTCACCCAGCCTAGCACCCCTGTCCCCCAAGGCACACTTGAAGCACAGGACCAGAGGCCCTCTGATTTAACATATTGGGGAACTGAGACCCCTTTTTTTTTAAATGGCTCAGCTGCTAAAATTAAATTTAAATATCTATAATTTAGGGACGCCTGGGTGGCTCAGCAGTTGAGCGTCTGCCTTCAGCTCAGGAATTTATTCCTGGAGACACAGGATCGAGTCCCACGTCGGGCTCCCTGCATGGAGCCTGCTTCTCCCTCTGCCTGTGTCTCTCTGCCTCTCTCTGTGTGTCTCATGAATAAATGAATAAAATCTTTTAAAAAAATCTACAATTTAGCTTCATAGGATGTAATTAGAGATGTAGGTACATAGCAGGTTGGGGAGGGCCTAGAGTTTGATTATTCACCTGCATGGTCAGGTCATCTAGGTGTTTTCTTGACAGACTGTATCACTCACTTCTTGTGGAGTCATTCACCACAACTAATGAGATCAGATACTTTCATTGAGTCCCTACTGGGTCAGGCACTGTGTCAGGCAGAAGAAACTGAATGACCACAAGCATAGGGGGTGGGAGAGCATGGTGGATACAGAGAACCGCAAGTAGTTTTGCTGCCTGGAGGATGGCATGTGAGCAGGAAAGGCAAAAAACATGGAAGAGGGGGACAGAGCCATGGCCTAGAAGGTATCAAGTAAGTAATGCCATGTCCCTTAATTTTCTCATAAGAGCCAGCAGTTATTGAGCAATTACTATGCCAGGCATGGTTTTCTGGGTGGCCGTACCTGATTCAACTCACTGAACCATCACAATCCCCATAGGAAGTAGGTACTCTTAATTTTCCCACTTTATAAATGTGGCACAGACACGGTAAGTAACTCACCCACAAAGTCACACTGATAAATAGAGTTTGAATTCAGGCAGGCCAAGCTACCCTTTTAACCTTTGGGCTACTCAGTCCCACCTTCCATCTGACTTCTGCCCTTTGATTTTCATGCCTGTGCTAAATTTAGTGTGCATTTGTGTTTCTGACCACACTGGCACCTGGTGATTTTCTAAAGGGACAGCATTGTAATTTTTCACGTTTCTCAAAGTATGGTCTGGGAAGCAGAAATTCCTTGGGAGAGCCATAAGAACTGCCTTTCTTGAAAAGCAACCCAAGTAAATGTTGAGAATTACTTTTTTAGGTCTCAGAGCAAATGAGGCCCAGAGGAGCTGGGGGAAAAAAATGAAACAAAACCAAACAAAAAACTGTCTCTCCCTCTCTCTCCTGTAGAGCCAGACAAGATACAGAACCTGCATTGCCGGCCTCAGAACTCCACGGCCATTGCCTGCTCTTGGATCCCTCCTGACTCTGACTTTGACGGCTATAGCATTGAGTGTCGGAAAATGGACACCCAAGAAGTTGAGTTTTCCAGAAAGCTGGAGAAAGAAAAGTCTCTGCTCAACATCATGATGCTCGTGCCCCATAAGAGGTACCTGGTGTCCATCAAGGTGCAGTCGGCTGGCATGAGCAGTGAGGTGGTGGAGGGCAGCACCATCACCATGATAGACCGTAAGTGTTTCCTGGGGGGCACCCCCACCCACTTCCTGGCCCCGGTAGTGCAACTTGGTGTCACTGGGATGAAAGAGACCCAGAAAGTGTCCGGGAAGTTCAGACCCTTCTGGGTGCCTGCAGAGCAGCCCAGCAGCAGGCACAGGAAGTGGCCTTAGCGTGCTTGAGGTGCCCGGCCTGCGGGAGCGTGGGGGGGGGGGGCATCAGGGCAGCGAGCTACATGCACAGGCATACACACGCACACACTGGTGTAGGTGAGCAGAGACCTTCATTTCACCGATTGTTGTTTCTGTGGAAAAGCAGAGCCGTGACCACCCGATTCCTTCTCCATCCCTTCCAGGGCCCCCTCCTCCACCACCACACATCCGCGTGAACAAAAAGGATGTGCTCATCAGCAAATCCTCCATCAACTTCACTTTCAACTGCAGCTGGTTCAGTGACACCAACGGAGCCGTGAAGTACTTCACAGTGGTAGTGAGAGAGGCCGATGGTAAGTGACACAGGATTCTCTGCCCTGAGACCCAGGGTTGCCTCAGCCCAGGCCACCCCGGTGGCTCTTTCTGTGGCCAGGTGTTCTAGAGCAGAAACCTTAAGTTTTATATCCTCCTGCCCCATCTCCAATGGATACTGGGAGACATGACAAATACGTGGGCACAGGCTCTCTCAGCAAGAAGCCCGGTGATAACTGTGCAACGGGTGAGCAACAACAGTAGCAACCACAATGGTATCAGTGACCCTCGCTTAAGGGCCTCGCGATGAGCCAGGCGCTTCTGGAAGAGCATCGATGGCCTGGTTGATCCTCACCACCTGCTCACTGCTCATCCAGCACCGTGGATGCTCTGGGGTGCGTCCACCAGCCAGCCGCATACTCCGGCGTCTCCCCCGCCCCGATCTCAAACACCCCAGGGAAGCACACGCTTCCAAACCACCCACCAATTCACAAAAAACCTTCAACAGCGAGCAAGAGGGAAAAGATGATCACGAAAAGCCTTCTCCCTTTCTCTACTGAATTTTCAGCAGTAAATTTCAAGTTCTGTCTACGATATTATTCACTGCCTGCCTGATTCCTACAGGCCAGGCAGAGACAAGGAAAGGGTGATGGCAGCCTCCCAGATGACGCCAAGTAGGATTTTTAGAGCTTAGTAGGTTGGCATTTGTCCACCTACTGGAGTGTCGTATTAGCCACTAAGGTCATGTGTGGCCTGTTTCTCCAAAGCACATGTCTGCATCTGCAGTGACGTGTCATAATATATTTGACGTGTCTCATAGTTTTCAAAACTGCTTAAGGTGTTACCCATGAGTTTCTTTAGCATCCCTGACTATTTTAACCCATTTGTGGGCAGTGAGAGAGTCCAAACCTGACAGGGCCTGGGGCACTTCCTAGGTGGAATAGTATTTCAGTCTCGTGGGGTATGTAATGGTCTGTGTGCTTTGACGTTTTATTTAGTTGTACTGAAGTTGGTCATGCAGAATTAACGAAATCATTTCAAGGGTCAGTGGTGCATCCCAGATTTCCTTACGTCTCGTAAATAGGTATGTTTACTTCTATCTGTGGATAAGGATTTAAGAGAGAACTTGGTGAACTGTGGAGAGATTTTAGATGTAATGGAGGTGCAGTGAACGCAAAGCTTTACTACGTGAATGTAAGGGAGTGACCAAAAGGAAGCCAAACCCCAGCAGGCGTCCTCGTGTTCTCCAGCCTTGTGGGCTTCAATTATTGATGTGCATGGAGATGGGCCGTGCTCCCCTGGTGATCTAAGGGAGCAATCCATCTCCTATAAATGTCATTCATAGCTTATAGTTCATCCCAAAGGCAACATTCCTCTTCAATTACTGCCAACGAGGTAGTATTTCCAAGACCCACTCATTGTGAACGAATTTTATTAACCGAGGCTCCAGGATGTGATGAACCCCTGCAATGCCACTCCTTGAAGTGCGCTGTAAATGGTATCCTACTTCTATAATATTTATCTTCCTGATTATGCTTTCCTCCAGCCAACATCAAAACGAGCTTGCAGTGCCAAAACACACAGCAGGCTGGGTGGACAGGGAAGAGTTCTGGGAAGCGTGCTACAGGCGGGGCCAAATTTGAGCCAGGATTACACTGGACTCAAGATAACAGAGAGCTGCACAGCAGAGTAGTTATCAGACTGGGTGTGGCACGTGGAGCGTGCCTGTGGGTGACTGTTCTGGCCTTGAACTTGATTTCTCTTATCTCTTCCCTATTTCCTAGGTCATAGGGGTTTCCTTATTAGCTCAGCTACAATGGTCGTTGGCAAGGCAGAGAGCTTATTGAGTGGGTTGACTCGCACAGTGGGGAGTGTCCAACTTTCTGGAGTTCTGGAACACGTTATCCTCTGATGCAACGAGTTAACCTCTCAAACACACACGTTTTATTTCCAAGAAAAATGATGGGTGTGTGTGTGCGTACAAATACACGTACGTGTGTGTATGACATCCTGTGTATACAGATATTATTATGAATTTTTATTTTAGAAGAAGTGAATTAAAATTAACTTCATTAGGAGAATTTCACAGTATCCTTCAAGGTCAAAGAGTCTGCACTTTGGAGATAACCAGAGATGGCGGGAGAGGGGAGGCCGACTTAGAAACCTAGTGAGAAATCGCCGAAGTCACGAGAAAGTTGGTCATTCACTGTGGGTTTCCTCCCTCCAGGCAATGATGAGCTGAAGCCAGAACAACAGCACCCTCTGCCCTCCTACCTGGAATACAGGCACAATGCCTCCATCCGGATGTATCAGACCGATTATTTTGCCAGCAAATGTGCCGAAAGTCCTGACAGCAGCTCCAAGAGCTTTAACATTAAGCTTGGGGCAGAGATGGAGAGCCTGGGTGGAAAATGCGATCCCAATCAGCAGAAATTCTGTGACGGACCACTGAAGCCGCGCACAGCCTACAGGTTAGACGTATTACCATCATTTTGCAAGAAGGGACGTGCCGCATTAGTGGGTGCGCAGCTGTCTGGGCATCTGATGCATATGAGCTCCTGTAGACTAATAACCCGTGTTACAACAGTGCTGTGCGTGTTGCTGGATAATTTATAAAAGTGGTGCTCCTGCCTCCATTCACTAAGGTGACGTGTCAAGAAGGCCTTCAGCCTTGTGCAAAAGCTCCAATCCATTATACGAAGAACCAAAGGTTCCTAATAGGTTGTTCTTTCTCCTGAAATTTCTTTAGCACATGTCAAACTATTCATTTACTATGTTAATGACGGGGAACATGTCCAAACAGGAAGACTGAGTTGGGGGGGACCCAAGAAATATGAGGTTTTATCTTCTACTTTCAGTGAGGGTTGAAATTACACTTACTCATTTATCATCTGAGGCATAAAAAGATGAGAGTGCTCTGTGGTCCAGACAGAACTGTGGAAGGCGAAGGCTCCTGTGTGAATGAGAGTACCCTTCCCTCCTGCTAGGCTGATGGAGGAAAAGGAGCAGCCATTTGGCTTGGCCCCAGGAAGCACTTCCGCAGCCAACAGGCCCTTCCAGCCGTAGGGATTGGCAGTGCCCTTGGCCTGCACCGGGCTCCCCGAAAGCAAGTATGAGAGGAGGTACACAGCATCCCAAGCAGAGTCCTCAAGAAAAAGTGAATGTTGGCACCATCTTGGCTGCAAGCTATGGGGCATCCAAGATCAGCCTGCTGCGGAGGATGTGCTGTCTCTCCCGGGTGCGGGCAGGTGCCCTGTGAGCCAGTGTCCCCTCTGGTTTGTCAGTGCCCAGGTCTTATTGACTCCTGTGTATTTTGAATGTCCCCCATGAGTCCCAGCAGAGATTTTGCTGTGGGCTCCAAAGGGAGACAGCGGCATGGCATCCCACCTGAGAGTGCTCGTAGCCTCTCCCCGAATCAACATGGGCAGGCTGACGGTTTTCCTAAACCAGAGGACTCATGTTGAGACTTTGAGCAGGAGATACGTAGCTAGCACCCTGCCCAGGACTCACCCCAAAATGCTATCGCCACCCCAGCCAAAGTTGGCATCCGCAGAGTAAACACGCGCACACTTATCAGTGCCATTTACTTGGAGAAGCCACAATATGAGCCTGCCTGAAAGGGGTGGAGGGGCTTGGACAGAGCAAAGGGGCACAGTCAGAGGGAGCAGCACTCGGGAACCCTTCAGTTCCTATAAGAATTAAGAGATGCCGCACTCCTCCGTCACTGGGCTCAAGGATTTTTGAGCAAAAGTCTCCCAAAGGCTCTATTTGATTCGCAAGTTGGACGGTGGAGGCTGGTTCTTGTTTGTCGGTTCCTGAAAGCGATGGAGAGAAGGTGGCCCCTTACTATGCTTAAGAGAGGGCGATGAGAAGCGGTAGATTTCCCCCGTCTGGGCCCAGCACTGGAAGCTGCCCAGGCCTGGGACAGTCTGCACGGAGTTCAGGCGCTGCCACTTAGCTGTGTGACCTCGGAAAGGCATTTCAGTTCCCAAATCCTCTCTTCTCCCATCTGCACAACACAGGAGGGATGTAGAGGACCCATCAAAACTGGTCGTGTCCCTTCTAGGTTAAGGTCTTCCGGGGGTCCCCTTTCCCTTCCAGGAGTAGGTGGGATTCCAGAGCAGGGCCCATAAGGCCCCCTCCTGACTGCCTCTCTCTCCTGCTTTGCTTCCCACCTTCTGCCACCAAGTACGCCCTGCCTTTTGCTGCCCTTCACTTGCAGTGACGTGCCTCTCTGATTCCTCTGAGCCTCCACATGTCCCTTTTGCTCTATCTGGGATGCCCTCCCCTCCCTTGATGGCTGGTGCATCCCTTCATATGCCTCAAAAGCCAGCTCAGCCCTCAATGAGCCACACGTTACCCCACAACCCAGCCACCCACACTGGGTGGTGGCCCCAGCTGCATTTCCATGGCAGCACTCAGAGCCTCCATCCCCACAAGACTCTACTTACCGGCATCCTGTAGCTCTTTGGTTACCTACCCTCTTCACCAGGCTACGGGAGTTCCAGTCTAATGGAGGAGATAAACAATATGGCAAGTACCTGGGCCCAAAGAGGCGCTCATTAAATGTTTGTTGAACCAAGAAGGGAATGAGCCAAGATGCCTTGTGAACAGTTATACATTCTTATTTGCACCTTAATCAACTCACGCCATACTTGTTTTCTAGAACAACTTTCCTCCATGTCCCCCATGAAAAGCATGCCGGACAGTTAAGTCTTGATAAGAGGAGGCAAAGCCTTTCAAAGTAGGTGGGGAAACAGGATGCTCAGTGGTGTCCCATGTGACTGCCAACCCTGGCCCTGGTGCAGTCATTTCTGCATTTCTCGGGATGATGAGCCTCAGTGCTGTCAGGCATCCTGTTTCTAGAGAGAATAGGTAGACAGGGGACAACATGGGGGGAAATCGAATTGAAAAGAAATGGGAAATGTCGGGGCACCGGGGTGGCTCAGCGATTGGGCGTCTGCCTTCAGCTCAGGGCGTGACCCCGGGTCCTGGGATTGAGTCCCACCTCGGGTCCCTGCATGGAGCCTGCATCTCCCTATGCCTGTGTCTCTGCCTCTCTCTCTGTGTCTCTCATGAATAAATAAATAAAATGAAAATGAAAAAGGAAATGGGAAATGCCTGGTTTAGAATGTGTTCCCATTTGTTACCAGGTTCCTGTTACCTGGGGGTATAGTTAGTGTCGTTTGTACAGGAAGAGAAATGGCAGATCGTGGTGGGTGGGAGGCAGGTCGGAGGTTAGCAGGGTGCCGATCTGGTTTCGTTTCTATTCTAAACAGAGTAGCAGTGTGACCACAACCAGGTAGTCAGCGTGGAAGCTGAACCCCACGATCTCTAACTGTGTGCTCTCGATTTCTGATTCTGGACACATGTAAGGTTGAGATCATTACTCTCATGTGTCTGTTTATTAAAATAACCTTGTTGATACACACACACACACACACACACACAGAGGCATCTGTAAGATACGGGCAGAGATGTTGAAGGGCACAAGGGTAAACAAATGCTGTAAAGGCTCAAAAGGCTTCTTGAAGGAGGTGACATTTTTAGCTCTGAGCATTAAAAAGGAGGGAAGGATTCGAAAATACCAAGAGAGGGACAGAAGGAGAGTCAGGGTGGAGGGAAGATCCGGAGTCAAAGTGCAGAGGGGGCAATACACCGGCTGTTCAGAGAAGAGGAAACAGTCCAGTTTCAACCTGGGGGGAGAGCATGGAAAGGGGTAGCGGGAAGACAAGGCCGGGAAGACAGGATGGCACGGGCCCGGCTGAGCCAGCCAAGCGGTGGCGGCCATGTCCCTTTCTGGGAAGGGTCTAAGGTCCACTGAGGTTAGGGTGGTCCTGGTGGTCCTATCCTAGGTCATCCCCTCCTTTCTGGCTGCCCAGAGGTCCTTACTCCTCTGCATTCATCTCATAGTCTGCGTTTTGCACCTAGAGCTTTAGAGCAGAACATGTGGAGGTTTATGTCCAGTGCCTTTTATTAATAAACGAGGACAACGAGGCCTAAAAACTGTAGGGACCCTTCCTCTAATCGGCAGCAGAGCCTTAGCTCGAGCTCAGACCCGCTGCTTCCCAGCCTGGGCCCTTTGTGGGATCCCTCCAACAGAAGTCAGTGCGGTCAAACCAAAACTAAGCCGGAAGGAAATCCGGGCGGGGACTCGGAACATACAGAGTTTGGTTTTCTCACACCAGCTCCCTCTGTGATCTTTTTTTTTTTTTTTTAAGATTTATTTATTTATTTATTTATTTATTTATTTATTTATTTATGAGAGAGAGAGAGAGAGAGAGAGGCAGAGACACAGGAGGAGGGAGAAGCAGACTCCATGCCGGGAGCCTGACGTGGGACTCAATCCCAGGACTCCAGGATCCTGCCCTGGGCCAAAGGCAGGAGGTAAACCGCTGAGCCACCCAGGGATCCCCCTCTTTTTTTTTTTTAAGATTTTATTTTATTTATTCATGAGAGACCCAGAGAGAGGCAGAGACACAGGCAGAGGGAGAAGCAGGCTCCCTGCAGGGATCCGGGTCTCCAGGATCACAGCCTGGGCCCAAGGCAGGTGCTCAAGCATGAGCCTCCTGGGCATCCCTCCCTCTGTGATCTTGAACGAGACAGGACATCTCTCCAAACTTCAGGTTCCAAATCTCTGAAGTAATAGAAGAAACTTCCCGGTTACGCTGGAGAAGTTGGAGATGCTCCAACAGAACCATGTTTCTGGATCCTTCCACACTTAGAAGCCGCTATGCCAGTACTGGAAATTCTTTTCACCAGAGAGACTCATTTCCCAAAGTACCGCGCATTAGCAGCACGCACCTGCTCCCCAGCTTCGCACTTCACGCAAGCTGTTTGTCACCCCTCAGGGACCCCTCACAATACTTCCAGCAACAGTCGCTGAGCCCGGGACGTACAACTTTTGACTGGAAAGTAGCTTTTTGAGATGCCAGTGACAGGTGTGTTGGATCCACAGCAGCCTGCTCATGCTCCGAGATTGCACGTGGACGTGGGCACGAGTTAGAAGGAGGAACGGAGGGTTAGAACCATCTGCCCTGGGTGACACTAGTTCAGCGGCATTACAGGGCACGCCCAGAAACTTTTGGGTTAAACAAATCTATATTTAAAAAAAAAAAAAAAAAGGAAAAAGACTTCGTGCACCTTCATAAGATTTAAATTAACACTGTGAAAATGTCCCCGTAGAAATCCAGCCTGATAGTCTCAGCAGACCTACAATTTGAAAGAGAAAGACCTCAAGAGCTGGCCTGAGCAGTCCTTAACTGAGTGTGGGGATGCTCTCCTACAGCTCCTCCGAGAGCTGGTTCTCAGCCTCTGCTTAAACACCCACGATGACTGGGAGCTCACTACTTATGCAGCAGCTCATACTCCAGGTGTTACAAAGTGACTTTTTGTTCCCAGACTACACCTCCTTGTGACCTCGGCCTGTTGGGCTTCACTCTACCTTCAAGAAGAAAAATTACGATGTCGGTTTCCTCTTCTGCATGAGAATTCTTTAAATCCGAAGTCAACCATCAGGTTCCCCTAAGCCTTTTCTGTCCATCATCCTGTTTAATCACCTCGAACGATCTCTAACCCTTCCTAAGATATGTCCCCAGAAACCGAGTGCGGCCGTCCCGACTGCGCTGACTCACCCAGGGACCATGAGACCAAGGTTCCATGACGGGGACAGTAGATTTTTCATCCAGGCTGAGCTTACAACTTTATCTTTTACAAGTTGCATCTTGGTGGCTTATTGAATTTAGGGCCAGCTCAGCTCCGGCACCATCCCACAGGGATGTGTGGACAACCGCCGTGATTGCAATAACTCCAAACACCAGCTGGAGAGCTCTAAATCAATGTCTCCCTGTCACTCTAAGTCCAACACAGCGCAAGCAGCGCTCTTCCTCTTTCCCCAGCTTAGCTCCCCATTTCCATCAGTGATGCCATTATTGTCTCAAATGAGCTGAGCTCAAATTGTAGGCCCATCCTGAATTCCTCCCTCCTCCTCTTCGGGCGGGGCCCCATCTGGTCCTTCCTCTCAGGGCTTCCCCACCGTGGTTCCCTTGGCCTCCCTCCTTTGCCCCTGGGCACATGTCCTCCTGTCCAGGAACCCTTCACTGACCACACAGTTCCACGTGCCCGTCCCCATCCCCATCCCCATCCCCAACCCCATCCCCATGCCCATCCCTCGCCCTTACTTGCTCTGCTCTTCGTGGCACAGATCACCATCCGGTGTATTAAATCTGTGTAGACGTTACCTGACTACCAACACTAGAGAATGTAAGCTCTGGGATGGTAGGGACTTTGCTGTGTCCCTTGTCGTCTCCCCAGATCCTAGCACAGGGACTGGCACATGGTAGGGGCTCAGCAAACCTTTGATGAATGAATGAACACATGCATGAGTGAACCCGGGTTTATTTGATTCCATAATTCATGTCCTAGCTAGCATACATATGGACCAGGTGCCCACCCTGTTGCTCCTTGAACACCTCTTCTGTGGTCAGTCGCAAATTCGCACTTAAATAAATCCGGTTTTCATTTCAGAATCAGCATTCGGGCTTTTACACAGCTGTTCGATGAGGACCTGAAGGAATTCACGAAGCCACTCTATTCAGACACGTTTTTCTCTTTGCCCATCACCACGGAGTCAGGTAAGGCCACCGTCCCATCCACTTGCACAGTCGACCACCTGCCTCGTCACTTACAAGGGCCTCTGTGGAGAGGTCTGGTGGCTGGGGTGGCTAAGGGTGAGGGGGATGTGCATTTTCACTTGGATTTCAATCTTTATGGGATCAGGGACGATCTGGATTGGAGAAATCACTCGTATTTCTAAAGGAGAATGGACTGAATGGGCATCAGTCTTGGAAAGAAGGATGGAAGTATCGGATTTCTTTAATTTAAAGTGAAGTATAAATAAATAAATAAATAAATAAATAAATAAATAAATAAATAAAAAATGAAGTTTTTATAAATGATGGGTGAAAAACATTCAAATTAGGAGCTTGCCAAAATATAAGTACAAAAGGCTTTCAGTCACAGGTGGGAATGTACGTGTGTGCAAACATAGAAATGCGTAGGAAAAAAAAAGACTAGAAGATAAAACACCAAAGTATCCACAACGAGGGGCGCCTGGCCAGCTCAGTCGGTGGAGCATGCAACTCGTGATCTCAGGGTCGTGAGTTCAAGCCCCACACTGGGTATGGAGCCTACTTAAAAAAAAGTATTAACAATGACTATCTCCAAGTAGTGGGATTATAGGCCGTATTTTTTCCTTTTGTTTATCATATATGGCTTTTACACCATAAAAGATGTTAACTTAAAAGATTTTACGTAAATTTATAAAAGAAACTTCCCTAGAGTTTTAGAGGGAAAGCCTGAATAATAGCAGTAGCTAATATTTACTCTCTTTTATTCACGAAATAGTTTATCCAACCTTCATACAAGCTTTTGAGGTAGATACTATTATCATCCCCCATTTTAAAGGTCAAGCCCTGGGGATCCAAGAGGACTTCTTGGACCTGGGTAACTTGCCCCGGAAGGTAGAGCCGGAATTCTGGCATTTTCCACTGGAGCCCTTAACCTCTGCATTGCATTGACTCCGAATATTCTCATCATGCTGAGAATAGCATCATTTTTCAGCACATTGTTCCCGGAGACTGACCCCAGCATCTGTCCCAGCCTCTCCCTGGAGCCAGGGTTCTACAATGCTTGGCCTCAGGAAGTTCTTCTTCATAGCTAAAACAGTCTCTCATGCTGCATGACAAAAGATGACTCAGCCTCACAAACACTCCCATCTATTTATGCCAAATATAGGGATAATCTCCCACTTTTCAAACCAAAAAGGGATCAGAACACAGTTAAGAGGATTTAGATGTGTTTGCTTATAATTTAATGTTAAGCAGGGGCACTGTAAACACAATTCTTCACTATTTAGAAAGCCACAGAAATTGTGTGTAGTCCCGGAAAGGAAGGTAGTAAGCACATATCCAGAAAAGAATATTAACCACATTAAAAGAAACATGAGCGTGTTGATTTAATGAGTCTTGAAAAGCAACCCTGAAGAAACAGATCCAAGGGCTTAAAGTGCACGTTCAAAAATGGACTGTTCTGGAAGCCTGAATGTAAGAGCTACAACAGTACAACTTTTAAAAGAAAACGTAGGAGTAAAATTCTGTGACCTTGGATTAGGAAATGCCTTCCTTGATGTGGCAGTGATAGCACAGCAATGGAAGGAGAAAAGAGACAGACAAATGGGACTTGATCAAAATTTAAAACTTTTCGTGCCTCAAAGGAGACCATGAAGCAAGTGAAAAGAAAACCCACAGAATGGGGGGAACTATTTGCAAGTTAATATCTGATCAGGCTCGCGTGTCCGACATACCTAAGGACCTGACATCTTACAACTCAATAATAAAAGGTCTGATGACAAAGGATGTGAATAGACATTTCACCAGAGAAGATACTCAAATGGCCAATAGGCACATGACAAGATGGTCAACATCATTAATCATTAGAGGAAAGGCAAATCGAAGCATTTGCATGAATAAATAAATATTTAAATAATAATAATAATAATAATAGCCCCCAAATAGAGATAACCCAAATGTCCGTCAATGGGTGAATGCATAAACAGTATGTGATATATTCCATACAATGAGATATTAGTCACCTATAAAAAAGAATGAAATCCTGAGACATGCTACAACACGGATGAACTTTGAAAACATTTCGCCAAGTGTAAGCAGTCAATTACCGAAGACCACATATTTAGGATTCAGTTCACATCAAGTGTCCAGAATTGGTAAATCTATGAAGACAAAGTAGATTCATGGCTGCCAGGGGCTGGGGAAGGACGGAGAATGACTGCTAAGAGGCCTGGAGTTTCTTTTGAGAGGTGACCTCGGAAAATTGAATACGGTGATGTTTGTAAAACTCTGTGACTATCCCAAAAATCATTGAATTATACGATTTAAATCAGTGAACTGAATGGTATGTGAGTTATATTTTGATAAAGGTGTTATATTTTTTTAAGATTTTATTTATTCATGTGACACAGAGAGAGAGAGAGGCAGAGACACAGGCAGAGGGAGAAGCAGGCTCCCTGCGGGAAGCCCGATGCGGAACTTGATCTCAGGACCCCGGGGTCATGTGCTGAGCCCCCCAGGGGCCCCAAAGCGGTTTTAAAAATAGGCTACTCAAAAAAAATAAAAAATAAAAATAAAAATAGGCTACTCTAACTATTCACAGACTCCCAGAGGTAGTATCACAGCAGATAATAAAAATGAAATTTCGGGATCCCTGGGTGGCGCAGCGGTTTAGCGCCTGCCTTTGGCCCAGGGCGCGATCCTGGAGACCCAGGATTGAGTCCCACATCGGGCTCCTGGTGCATGGAGCCTGCTTCTCCCTCTGCCTGTGTCTCTGCCTCTCTCTCTCTCTTTCTCTCTGTGACTATCATAAATAAATAAATAAAATTAAAAAAATAAAAATGAAAAATGAAATTTCATTGAAGAGCTCTCAGTAACTCACTGGAACCTGCCAAAGTCCCCAGTACTATCATACTTGTATCGTACGAATGAAATAGCGTTTTTTTTTTGTTTTTTTTTTTAAAGATTTTATTTATTTATTCATGAGAGACACACACAGAGAGAAGAGAGAGGCAGAGACACAGGCAGAGGGAGGGAGAAGCAGGCTCCATGCAGGGAGCCCGAGGTGAGACTTGATCCTGGGTCTGCAGGATCACGCCCTGGACTGAAGGTGGCGCTTAAACCACTGAGCCACCGGGGCTGCCCCTGAAATAGCGTTTTTACCACGGTGGCCAACTGCTGGCCTTTATCTCAAGTGTCCTAACTGTATGTACAAGCCCAAGTGGGTATAAAATTCCTTCGTAAGTGGAACCCCATTAACCTCAAAAGTTTAAGGACGGGGCAGCCCGGGTGGCTCAGCGGTTTGGCACCACCTTTGGTCCAGGGTGGGATCCTAGAGACCCGGGATCAAGTCCCGCGTCGGGCTCCCTGCATGGAGCCTGCTTCTCCCTCTGCCTGTCTCTGCCTCTGTGTGTGTGTGTGTGTCTCTAATAAATAAATAAAATCTTAAAAAAAAAAAAAGTCTAAGAACGGACCTGCCGTTGCCGAGTGGGAACCTGCATCCCCTCTTCCGGGCCGCAGGTGCACCTCCCATCGGACAGCAGATACCGCAGCGTGGGCATCATTTGAGTTTTCCTGTAACAGCGTCCCTAGGGGGATAGAGGGTTTCCGCGGCTCTCCTCCCGGTTCTTTAGCACTAATTCTCCTGCCTGGGTTTGTTGTGTCTGTCCGGATGCCTGTAGAGCCCTTGTTTGGAGTCATCGAAGGTGTGAGCGCCGGGCTGTTCCTGATCGGCATGCTGGTGGCCGTTGTTGCCTTGTTCATCTGCAGGCAGAAAGCCAGGTGAGTGCACGATTCCTTGGTGCCCGGCGCCCCACTGTACAGAGGTAACCGGAAACGCCCTTTAGCCTGAAAAGTGAGAAGGGCCGATCCTGTCATTTCTCCCCGGTTGAACCACCTTTGCTTCTCAAGAAAACCAAGTCAAACCTGCCAACGATGACTCACTTTTTCTCAGCGTCTCTACTTGCCATTGATGAGTTTTGCCCTAACCAAAGGACTGAGGGGCCATCTGTAGCTTCATTTGAATGGGGAATAACTGCTTTTCCTCCTGGATTCAGAGATGTCTGTGACTTGCACACTCAAGTGCCTTTCTGAAAAACGCTGAAAAGCGTGGTTGCCGTCACCATTCCGTGGTCATATTTGTCATGCTAATTTAAGAAGGGACCAAAAAGAACCAAATAGCATGTGGCCCCAAAGCCACGCCCCCTCCTCTTAGGGATTGTGCTTGGCACGTTGTCCTCCCTCCCGCAGTCATGTCTTGCATCTAAGGTTTACCGGGGTTTTTTTTTTTTAAGGAAAGTTTTATTGAGAGTGTGGGAAGTGATTATGACCTGTAGCCAAAAACCAGAAGACAAATCTCCAGCTATTGCAGAGATCCGTTTCTGAGTGGGAAAAATCTATTTCTTCTTTATGCGCTTCCTCCCCTCAAAGAGACGTTGGCTGAGTGTAAATCTACAGGAATACTGAAAAATCCATATTTGCACAGACATGCACAGCCTCACCATAAATGGAAAACTCTGTTTAAATCAAGTTTCGTAATCAGAATATAAATCCTCTCCCTTATGTTGCAGCCATGGTCGAGAGAGGCCCTCTGCCCGCCTGAGCATCCGCCGGGATCGACCACTATCTGTCCACTTGAACCTGGGCCAGAAAGGGTGAGCGCCACATTTCCCTTCACATAATGTGTTGAAAGATGAGTTGAGTGTCTTATGTGAGATTTGCTAACGAGGTCTTTCTTCTTTTGGCGCCCTTCACAGTAACCGGAAGACGTCTTGGTAAGAGCGAGAACTCATTGGCACCTCTGTTACCTGCTTTCGAAGTACAACTCAGATTGGGCATGGTGGTGTCCCTTCCCATCAGTAATTTTCTTTCTCTCTCTCTCTCTCTGTCTTTCTTTCTTTTTTTTTTTCCTTTCTATTATATTTTAGCCCAATAAAAATAAACCAGTTTGAAGGGCACTTCATGAAGCTGCAGGCTGATTCCAACTACCTCCTGTCCAAGGAATACGAGGTACGACTCAGACTCAGCAGAATTTCCATCCCAGCCTCTCCTGCGGGTCCCAGGCCGAGGGGGGCTCGGGGGTCAGGACACCCTGCAGGATCCCGGCGGAGCGCTCTCATGCCTGAGTCCGTTCCAGATCCATCCGCTCTCATCTTCTGAAGAGCACAGCAAACAAAGTGCTACCTGGATAAGATGTTAAGGAAGGATGAGCCAGTCTCACCTGTAAACCCGGTTCCGTCAGTTATTTAACCTAGCGATTTGCTGGACTGGGGCACAAGGTGGGAGGGTGAAAAGGGCCCAGGCTTCGGGTCCACTGCCCAGCTTTGCCACCTCCGCACCTTGGGGCAAGTGACTTATCCCAGTCTGAGCCCCATCTGTAAAATGGAGGTGAGGATAGCTCCTCTAAGGCTGGGGTTGGGGGGGCAGGGGAGGCGGAGGTCACACAGGTCCCATACAAGGCGTTCCAGAAACAGTGGCTGTCGTGACACGTTCCTAGATCGTTATGTATCTCAGGGACTGTGCGATCCGCCTTCTTTGGTTTCATATCCTCCACTCGCAAACTTCTTTTTTTGACCTGATAGGACTTGAAAGACGTGGGTCGAAACCAATCATGTGACATTGCGCTCTTGCCGGAGAATAGAGGGAAAAATCGATACAACAATATCTTGCCCTGTGAGTTTCATGGGGAACTTTGTCATCCTGTCTTCCCTCTAGCCCTTTCTTCTCTCTTCCAGGAATAAAATGGGGCTAAAGAGATATGGGATAGCTGGATACGGAGGCTCCAAGGCCCTGCGTGCCTTTTAAAAGGGATGTTAGTGCACTTCCCACCCGTGCGGTAACGACCGGCTTGAATTCTGGTTCGAGTCGCTCTTCTCACTGGGTTGACATGTTATCATGTGGTCCCACTGCTTCTCCTGGGAAGCAGGGCTAACAGCAAAGGCCGACGTGGGTTTCCTTAAAGTCCCCAGTTAGCAATTATTACATGTTCTTTATTGTTTTTAAAAGATTTTATTTATTTATTCATGAGAGACAGAGGGAGAGAGGCAGAGACGCAGGAGAAGCAGGCTCCATGTGGGGAGCCTGATGCAGGACTCGATCCCAGGACCCCAGGGTCATGCCCTGGGCCGAAGGGAGATGGTCAACCGCTGAGCCACCCGGGCTGCCCCTTACATGTTCTTTATTATCCCGACCCAATCAGCGGATGGTGGTCCTGGATTGTATTCGTCCCAGCTGCGAAAGGGACCCGGCCTCCTCATAGGGCAAATGCCATCGTGTTAAGAAGGAAGGCAGAGGGGGCCTCAGAGAGCCAGTGGCCGGTTGGCTCGTGTTCACGGCCTCCCATGAGACCTGGGCCAGTCGGTTGTCCTCTGTGAGGCTCACCTGTGAATCGAACAGAAGCCCACCCCCCCCAGGGGTGTCTTGGGGGCCAGAGCTGCTGCACTCTAGCACCAAGCAGCCGGCCAACGGTGGAAAGCCCGCCCAGGACCCAGTGACCGATCTGTCCATCATTCCTTCCAGACGATGCGTCTCGAGTGAAGCTGTCCAACGTGGATGACGACCCGTGCTCAGACTACATCAACGCCAGCTACATCCCCGTAAGTGGCCCGGGGCCCGGGGATGAGGCTTGCATGGGTGGCCACGCTGCAGGCGCCCGGCGCATTCTCGGTCCACGAGCCCTTGGCAGGCGCCACGCAGCACAGAGCGCACGTCGTCACTGCCCGGCCCGGCCATACGATACAAGGCGCCCGGGTGGCCCCGGGAAAGGATTCAGCCCCAGCCCCGATCAGAGCTCCTGAGGGGCCGGGGGGCCCCCTGCTCAGGCTGCCCAGCGAGGGCACCTTGTTCCACGTCATCCGGATTCTGGAAAGCCCAACTCGACGGTTCGGGCCGCCGAGGCCCGGCGGTCGCTCAGCAGGCTCCGCACCCGGGCGCAGGGCCGCCCCTCGTGGGACCTCTGTGTTCTGGCCCCGAACAGGAGGGTAATGACCTCAAGTGGCCCCTGGGCTGTCGGTGAGCGCTCTGCGGTCGGGGGTAAGCGCAACCTGCCCCCTGAGCCTCGGGGGTCCGCAGAGTCGGGGTGCCAGGGTGCCGCCTGGCAGCAGGCCCGAGGGCACCCTCCGACCTGCACGCGCATCCACGGCCCACAGGGTCCTGTGGGTCTGCAGGCCCAGCGGGCCTGGATTCTGGCTCCTCGCAAGCCCGGGTCGGGCTGTGCCGCCGGCCTGAGAGCACTGCCCCGGGAGCACGGCACTGGGCTGCCGGGGGAGCCCAGGGGCGGGGGGGCTCGGGGACTGGCCGGCGGGCGGCGGCCACGATGTGGCAGTGGTGACACAGGTCAGGCCCGGGGCGCAGGCTGCATCCCCTGCGGCTCCCATCCGCCCAGTCCCAGACCTGCCTTTCCCCAGCCCTCTAATGTTCAACCCGACTCAGGCTCTGCTAGAAGGAACAGGGGGCAGAGCCCGAGGACAACGGTGCCTCAGTCTGCACACGTGCATGTGCACGCACCGTGCAGAATGCTCCAGATCGTTGCCCCAGCCCTCTGGTGCCTTAGAACAGACCTGCCCAGTAGACGGCGAAGCTGCCGCTTGACGACAGCTCAGCACCGCTGCCGTTGTCCCTGTGCCCCCGAGGCTTGCTGCATGTCGTGCTTGACTGTCCGGCCTGTAAACCCATCACAGGGCAACAGCTTCCGAAGAGAGTACATAGCTACCCAGGGGCCTCTTCCTGGCACCAAGGATGACTTCTGGAAAATGGCGTGGGAACAGAACGTCCACAACATCGTCATGGTGACCCAGTGCGTGGAGAAGGGCCGGGTGAGTAACAGGCCTCCGGCCTCGCGCGCTCACGCCCCCACCCCGTGGGGCCCACCCCCAAAGCCAGGGACGGATCACGTTAGTGGGTCGGGCCCCTCGGCTGCAAAAGGCTCCCGTGGCTTGTGCCCACCTCTTTTGGGTTTTTTTTTTAAGATTTTATTTATTTATTCCTGAGAGACCCAGAGAGAGAGGCTGAGACCCAGGCCGAGGGAGAAGCAGGTCCCTGCAGGGAGCTGACGCGGGACTCGATCCTGGGACCCGGGGTCACGCCCTGGGCCCAAGGCGGCCGCCCACCCGCTGGGCCCCCGGCGCCCAGGTTATGCCCACTTCTGATGGTGGCTCCGCAGTTTCAGTCGGGGGCGTTTCCGTTCGGAGAGCGGGGTCCCAGAGGGCTGTGACACAGAGCGAACAGCGGCCGCCTGCGGGCCCTCGGCCGGGGGTGACTGGCAGGCTCCTGGGGCTGCCTCTCGTTCGGGAATCAAGGGAAGTGCACTCGGGGCCGGTCTGCAGGCACAAAGCGAAATCGTTCCCCGGGCAAATCGAGCCCTTGCAACACACTTACGGTCCCGTATGCGCTGCATATGGTCAGTTTGGAGGTTACACACGAGGTTACAAACCCGGTGCCCGGAACCTGTGCTCCGGGACGCGTGCCCATAATTCCCTCTCCTCCTGCCCTTCGTGTAAATCGGAGCTTAGCCACGTGTTCTGACTTCTCAAAGACCACCGGGCACATGGCACCTGGTCCAGGTTAGGACGGTGACTTCAAACATAAGCAAAGAGGGGCCAGGAAGACGTTGCCTTCTTCTGCCTGGCTGGAACTTTCTTCAGAGAGAACCCCCCGCAATACCTGGGCTATGAGTGGTGGGACTGAAATGCTGAGGAGAGCAACAAGGAGCTCAAGCCTTGGATCCCGCACCTGAGAGAGACGTGAACCCGAAGGTTGGGGCTCCACGCCCTGCACAGAGGTGCTCCTCTCCCTGGACACAGGTGCTTCCTTTCCCTGCACAGACGTGCTCCTCATCCTGCACACAGGTGCTCCTCTCCCTGCACAGACGTGCTCCATGCCCTGCACACAGGTGCTCCTCTCCCTGCACAGATGTGCTTCTCTCCCTGCACAGAGGTGCTCCGCCTCACAGGAGTGGGCTGGCGTGGCCCTGAGCACGTGGATGCAGAGCAGATGGTCAGATGCTCAGTCCCAGCTCAGGAAGTCACTTCAAGGAGGAAACGTCCAGGTTCGGAGGGGACTCACGTGTCCAGACTCACTCTTTTCCCCTCTGCCTTCCTCTAGGTAAAGTGTGACCACTACTGGCCAGCGGACCAGGATTCCCTCTACTATGGGGACCTCATCCTGCAGATGCTCTCAGAGTCTGTGCTGCCCGAGTGGACCATCCGGGAATTTAGGATATGCAGTGTATGTTGGACCTCATGAAACCCCCAGCTTGGAAAGATGCGAGACACCTGTGACCCACCCACCCCACCCCACCCCCGCTTTTGGTGCCTCCTGCCCTGTGGTTTCGGCTCCTGGGAGCTGCTGCGTGGCCACAGTGGTCAGACATGAAGGTCGGCCCTGGGTCCTTCCCCTTACACCCTCTGCTCTTGCAGGAGGAGCAACTCGATGCGCACAGGCTCATCCGCCACTTTCACTACACGGTGTGGCCAGACCATGGGGTCCCAGAGACCACCCAGTCCCTGATCCAGTTTGTGAGGACCGTCAGGGACTACATCAGCCGGAGCCCTGGCGCTGGGCCCACTGTGGTGCACTGCAGGTACCGGGGGGCGGGGGGGCGGGGGGCCGGGAACACGGGCGGGGGCCGGTCCAGCTGCGCCAACCAGCCCACCTGGGCCCGCAGGGTATCGTCATGCTCTCTCCTCTCTTTTCCCTTTCTTCGCCTTCACCCCTCCATCACCCTCACTGTCCACTCCCCTCTCTCTCCCTCCTGCTGTTTTTGCCACTGTACAAAATGCAAAGTCCCTCCGTGACTTCCAGGCCATCTAGGAGTGGGTCCCGTCTCCCCCCCACCCCGGTCCAAGTTGCCAGAAACCCCGCTCTCATGCAACAACCTGCTTCTTCTCACCTCTTGCCGTTCTTCCTCCTTGGGGCGGGGGGGGGGGGCTAATCTCTCTCCTCCACCCACATAAACGCTCAGCATCCCTCCGCTCCAGGCTCCAGACCTCCCTCCAAGTCGAGTGGCACTTGGCATCTGTAGCACCCAAGTTTGCTCCTAAATTGCACTTCCCTCCTGACTTCTCTTTGCTCTAGACTGCACGGCCAGTCAGCCTACCAAGCAGTCCCTCTCTCCTCCTCTCTGGGAGCCTGGTGTTTAGCTAATTAATGTTTGCAGCCACACTTTGATAGCCAGAGCCGAATGGCACTAAGAAGACCAGGGAATTGCTCCACCAAGAGAAATGTCAGATGCCTTCGTTTCCTGCCAATCAGCCCAGCACCCTAGGAGCCCAGCTTTTATATGTCAGTGGAACCCTGATGCTTTTAATGGGAATGCGAGGCACTCCCAGGCTTCCTGTTTCTGAAGAACGGCCGGCGTTTCTGCCCATGCCACCAGAGAACTGTTCTCCTTTATCCCATAAGGCTGAGCATCCGAAATCCCCAGGTGGTGCGGCTGCTGGGAAGCAACCCGGCCATCCCTGGTGAAGCCCAATGTGTTCTCACCCTAGGATCCAGCAGTTCTGCTTCTAGACATCAGCCCTAGAGAAAGGCCTACACGTGTGCACAAGGAGGTTCACTGCAACACGAGTTTTCAAAGACAATAACTAAAAATGATCTCATTGTCGGGGCAACTGGGTGGCTCAGTCGGTTAAGTGTCCGACTCTTGGGTTTGGCTCAGGCCATGGTCTTAGGGTCGTGAGATGGAGCCCCACATGGGCTCTGTGCTTAGCCTGGAGCCTGCTTGAGATTCTCTCTCTCCCTTTCCCTTTGCCCCTCCCCCTGCTCGCTCTCTGTCTCTCTCAGATGAGAAAATCCTAAAAAAAAAAAAAAACACACACACACACACAACAAAACTCCTTGTCTATCAGTAGAGAATAGATTAGCAGGCGATGCTTGGCAGTGGCATGGCGTATGACCTCTATAGAGAAGCTAAAAGAAGGTGGATCTGCATGTAACGCCAGGGGTAAATCTCAAAACAAGGTATTGAGTAAAAAGAAGTTGGCGAAAGGACACATGAAACACGTCATCATTTTAGCAAACCTCGGAGACCCACAAAATGAGCAGTACATGCTGTCTGTGGATCAGCACGTATGCAAGACGAGTGTAAAACACGATGCGTGGACATGAAGCTCTAAGTGCAGAGCCACACCTGTCCCTGCTGGGTGGGGGATGTGGAAGGAGGAAGGAGAAAGAGATGGAAGGTGGGTTCCCTCACGGACAGGGCTCCCTGAGAGAAGCAGCGCTCCTTATTCTCCCACAGTGAGGAAGCGAAGAGGAAGACGGCGCTGGCATCTCTGGGTGCAGGCCCGACAGGCACTGTGGCCCTGAAGGCTCAGGCTTCTGTCACTCTGTCTCTCCTAGTGCTGGCGTGGGTAGGACTGGGACCTTTATCGCCTTGGACCGAATCCTCCAGCAATTAGACTCCAAAGACTCCGTGGACATTTACGGCGCAGTGAACGACCTGAGGCTTCACAGGGTTCACATGGTCCAGACTGAGGTAAGAGTTACAGGCTGAAGGACACGGACCGCCCCCTCTGCCGCTCTCCCCACGATGCCCACGGCTCTAATCGGACGAGGACAAATATCCTATGACTCATTAGGAAGAGAAAAAAACTGACTATAGATGTTCTGTAGGACTTGTTATCTTAAAACACATTTCACTGACCTTGAGGTACCTTGTGGAACTCTGCCAAGCTGTTTGCCCATCTTCTTCAGGTGGGGAGAAAGCGAGATGGATTATCCTTTAAATCAATGCATTGTACATGGGGGGGGCACTCTGTCTTTTTTTTTTTAATTAACTTTTTAAAAGAGTTTATTTAAACTCTATTTGTCAGCATAAAGTAGAACACCCAGTTCTCATCCCATCAAGTGCCCTCCTCAGTGCCCGTCACTCATCCCCCCTGCCCACCTCCCCTTCTGCAACCCTTTATTTGTTTCCCAGAGTTAGGTATGTCTTATGGTTTATCTCCCTCTCTAATTTTTCCCACTCAGTTCCCCTCCTTTCCCTTATAATCCCTTTGACTGTGTCTTACATTCCCCATATGAGTGAAACCACATGATGATGGTCCTTCTCCGATGGACTTACTTCACTCAGCACAGTGCCCTCCGGTTCCATCCGTGTCCATGTAAATGGTGGGACCATGTAAATGGTCCTTTCTAATGGCTCAGGAACAGTCCATTGTGTACACAGACCACATCTTCTGTATCCGTTCATCTGTCAAAGGACATCATCAGGCCAATCTGTCTCAAAGATCATTTTAAGATAGGCTGGCGAGTGAGCCCCAGAACTCCCATTAGTAAAGAGGAAACACACTTACGGTCTCTTCTCTCCTCCAGCCACCCACCCCCCAGCCACACACCCACCTCTGGAGACCCCAGACAAGTGCACACTGCTTACAAAGGATAAACGCTTCCATCTGTACTGTCCTTTGACATTTGCAGGGTGTTTTTAAATATGTTATTTCATTAAATTCATAAAAAACATAGAGGTGAGGTATTTTTCCATTTCCAGGCTACACAGCTGCGGTGCAGAGGCTAAAGGCCTTTGCACAGCTATGATGTGGCCGAGCTGGGGCTTGAACCTGTTCTAAAGACAAACATTATATGGTCTCATTCATTTGGGGAGTATAAAAAATAGTGAAAGGGAATAAAGGGGAAAGAAGAAAAAATGAGTGGGAAATATCAGAAAGGAGACAGAACATGAGAGACTCCTAACTCTGGGAAACAAACTAGGGGTGGTGGAAGGGGAGGTGGGTAGGGGGTGGGTGTGACTGAGTGACGGCACTGAGGGGGGCACTTAATGGGATGAGCACTGGGTGTTATTCCATATGTTGGCAAATTGAACACCAATAAAAAATAAATTTATAAAAAAAAAAAGCCCTTAGCCCCACAGCCTCAGGGTGGGATCTAGCATCATTGCTTCCTATAGGCACACCTGTCACCACCATTGTCCTGGGCTGGGAGTACTTTCATTATAACTACTACACTATACTTTTAATATTTTATTACAGAATTTTTTTAAATACATAAAACCAGGGTAAATGGTATAGTGAATTTCCGTGCACCTAAACTCCAGCTTCTACAATTATCAGTATTCCATGTTCTTTTTCCGTGTTCTACATCCCACATACACTATTTCCCTACCCCGTGGCCTTATTGGAAAATATCAAAGCAAATCCTACTTATCAAACCATTTGATCCTTAAATGCTGTGTATGCAGAAATTTTAGAGAAAGACTCTTAAAGATTGTGACCAGAATATCATTATCACACCTAACATTTTTAACCATAATCCCTTAATATCATTTAACATCCAGTCAGGGCTTAAATATCCCTAATTATTTCAAATTTGCTTTCTACGCTGAGTTTCCATAGAATCCAAACAAAGTCCACATGCTGCATTTGGTCGAAGTCTCTTAAATTTCTTTTAAATCTATAATAACCCTCCTTTGTTTTCCAAACTGTTTATTCATTAAAGACACCAGTTCAATTGTTCTGTATATTTTCCCACATCCCGGATTTGACCACAAATTTTAATTTGGGGAAGGGGAGATTTTCACATCGTAAGTAGTCTTGAAGAATGTGTGGTGTGTGTGTGTGTGTGTGTGTGTGTGTGTGTGTGTGTGTGTTAGTCATTGTCGGAGGCCTCTGGGCTCATGTGTCACCTGCGTACATCTGCCCAGAACTCCAGGGTGCATTGTGGCAGAGAGCAGACACGCTCACTGTAAACATCACTGGCAGGCTTCCAGGGCAGGGGGGACACAATGTGCCGCAGCTCTTCCTCCGTCTTGGATATATCTCCTTCTTTCCACTATTCCCTTCTCCTCCTAACGTCTCAGGATTCTGTGCTCTTTCCTCAGCTTGCCTGTTGAATGTTTGAGGTCCCCATGGTTCTGCCCTCAAGGTGCTACTCTCCCTTCTCTTGACCTTCATTCCTGGTGATGTCCCATGGCTTGCAGAACCGCATACATGCTTGCGTTTCCCAAATCTCATTCTCCTTTTCCGACAATGAGCTAAGAACCTGCCTACCAAACAGTCCTATCTGGAAGCCTTGCATTTGTCTCAAACTCAACAAAACTCAACAAAACTCAGGACTGAACTCATTATCTGTCTCTAAACAAAGAGTAACAATGAAAGCACTCCTCCCCCTCTTGCTTCTTCCAGGTTCAGGTAATGGTGCCACCATGCCCGTGCCCTCCGTGTGTTTGCCCAAACTAGGATTCTGATGTCTCTTCCCAGGGTTCCCACATTCAGGCAGTCATGGAGTCCTGTCTATTGTACCCGACATCTTTCTCTTCCTTCTGGTCTCCCACCCAACTGCCACTGTCCTCACTCAGCTGTTTATCAGCTCTCACTGGGCCCTTCTGTGCCAACCTCCCAGTGTGTCTCCTGCCACCAGCCTCTGCCCTACCAACTTTGTCACCACTGCCACTGACATGGCGCTTTTGCTCACTGTGGCAGCTCCCTGTGTAAAAACTTTGGCAAGCTCTCCATTGCAGTAGAATGAAGTTCAGACTCTCACTCTTGTTGTATACAGGCCTCTTCATAACTAGGCCCCCAACTTATTGCTTCAGTTTCATATCATAACACCCTCCCCATTGTTTTAGGGTCTGCCAAAATTAAGGATGGTTTCCCTCCCTGGGTCAGAATTAACTTTGATTCTTTTGATTATAATGAGATAAATATTATGGTAAGAAATATTTTGCCTCTCCTTTTTTTTCTTTTTCTCCTTTTTATCAAGTGAAATCCCAGACAGTATTCACATATTACCTGTCCTGTTGTAACTCCTTGCCCACAGTGGGCTTCTTGTAGTCCCAGAAGCCCTGGCCCCAGCCCTAGTATGGCTCATTTGTCCTGGGAGTGGGTGCAGAGGGCTGTGATCCACACCTGAGCCAGAGGAAACAAAGAAGGAAAGACATTCAGACCCCCTTATATTACTTTTCCGGGTCAATGGGAATAGTCAACTTTAATTTTATTCCACCTTCTTTGGGATACAAAGGGTCTTCACAAGTTTTAATAAATATATCAAAGAGCAAGGATTTCTAAACAAAGAGGCATTAGACAGAAGATTTTCAAATGTGTCCTTCCTTCCTTTAGCCTGCCTTAGGGGAAATTTGTGGCCTGACTCCCAGAGAGACACTCAGATGAAGCAGTAAGTTGTTAATAAGAGTTGATAGTCACAGTCTGTTAATCTCTTCTGCTTTCTGGAAGGAGGAGACAGTGGGATATGGTAGGACCAAGATTTTTGGTGCCCATTTGGGGGATTGTCCTTGGGCTTTCCCATGGCTCATGCACCCTACATTTTGGCCATGCTAGACTACTCAGTTTCCAGAATATATATGCTCATTCATGTTATTTACATCACTTGGAATGTCCCATTCTTTGGGACAAACTTTTACCTTTCTCCTTAGATTGATACCTCTCTCCCCAAAAAGTGAACTTGACAATTTCTTCTTATATATGAAGCTTTAGACACAATTTGATCTTATATTTATCATCTTATAGGTATTTTTTGTCCACATGTCTGCCCCTCTGCTAAACTGTGAACTCAAGGACTGTGAAAAGCTCAAGGTCTAATTCTATAAATACTATTTAGTACTACAACTATTGGTGAAATTGAATGCAATTGAGGCTTCACAAGTCAGCGAGACAGAGCAAAAAATTTTCATGATCCAAGTTTCATAGAGTCTAATAGACTCTATTCTTCATTAAGAATGAAGTGGGAAGCACATTAAGAGTCTGAAGGTTTGGGATCCCTGGGTGGCGCAGCGGTTTGGCGCTTGCCTTTGGCCAGGGCGCGATCCTGGAGACCTGGGATCGAATCCCACGTCAGGCTCCCGTTGCATGGAGCCTGCTTCTCCCTCTGCCTGTGTCTCTGCCTCTCTCTATATATCTCTATCTCTCTGTGACTATCATAAATAAATAAATAAACAAATAAATAAAAAAAATTAAAAAAAAAAAAAAAAAAAGAGTCTGAAGGTTTTAGTAGTAATTATTTTCAAAAGGACATTCTATTGGGAGAAGAAGATTTTATATTTAAGGCAAGGCAAATTAATGAATATTAACTGGTTTCAAAGGCCGTAGTGGATCATTGTTGAAGAATTTATTAATAAGACATAGCATAGATGTAATAGAATTGTCCACAGTGGAACTTTAAGGTCCCAAAGTAATTTGATATCCCAGTACAACTGAAAATATGAATCATGCTTTGGATGAAAGGAAACAGGAAATATCTATCTATAATTTGGTAGATTGTTTTCAAGATGGCAAAGAAACTGCCCATACTAACAACCATTTTCAGGATAGTACTCTCCTCAAATTTTCAAGATCAAGGTGGCATGAAAAACTTATAACACTCAGAAATGCAGAGAATAGTTAATCAATATTTATGCAGGCCTCACTCATGATTGATTTATTTCTTTGATATATCCTAATCTAATGACTATCCCAGACCTATATCATGAAGTCCCTTTGGTAGATGACCAGGCTGACTTTCAATCAGAGGCAATGCCTAGTGTCAACCCGTGAAAATAAATACTGGTCCACTTGTAAAGTTCGTTGATGAGGAAAGATCTTACAGTCTCACTTTGTATCTCAAACCTTTAAAATACTTTAAAATAACACATGAATCACCTTAAATGTGGGATCCAGGAACGTTTTTCAACATCCATCTAATTGATAGCAACACAGAGCCTCATACCCTTTAATGGTCAAAGGATATTAGCTCTAGAAGACACCTCAGATGTTTTCTAGATGTTCCCTGAGAAGCCTCGTGATTCAGTTTAGGCCAGCTGGAGGCAGACGAAGAGCCCAGTGTCTCTTGCATGCTAGTGGGCTTCCCTTCCCGCCTCCTCTTTCTCTGGGTGGGCTCTGAGCAGTTGCTGTGTCATTAAAGGAACCTGAGGCCAAGGTCACATGGACATTCTTTTCTTTATTAGACAGCTCTGTTAGTAGGAAGGAAGGCTGCCTATGTTGTCAGGTGCGTCTTTATGGTCACCAAAACACTGACTCTTCTTTGTTTCTATTTCAAAAGTAGATCGTTCCCAGATAATTGGCAGAGGTGAGTCTGTTCTCACTGTGTAACCCTCTGTAGTTCTTTGTCATCAGCCAACATCTTGGAGAGTCTTCCTTGTGAAGAAAACCAAGATAGATAAGATACTAACCTTACCCTCAAAGAACCGACAGTCTTTGGTTTGGTGGGGTCTACTGTATACAACTTCTTTTTCTTATTATCCTCACAAAAGAAAGGGAAAAAAACAGGGTATGCAGTGAAATTATTTCCTCATTCAATTATGCAGTGAAATTAGGATTCATCTAAGGAAACTGGTATAGTGAAAAGAACATGAATATGAACCCTAGGATCATTTGCTCGGGTCCCATTTCTTGGCTATGTGAGAAGTTACTTAACACCTCTGAGTCTTCATTCCTATGAATAGTTATATCTACTTTATGAAATTGTCAAAATAATCAAATGAGATAACTTATGTAAAATGCATAGTACAGTGTTTGGTAGTCAGTCGTCTATTTACAAATATTTGTAGAGGACTGACTATGTGCCAGACATAATTCTAGGCACTCATAGAACATACTCCCTAAATATGCATGCACATAAAAAGGAATAAATAAACACCATGAGGGATCCCTGGGTGGCGCAGTGGTTTGGCGCCTGCCTTTGGCCCAGGGCGCGATCCTGGAGACCCAGGATCGAATCCCACATCGGGCTTCCGGTGCATGGAGCCTGCTTCTCCCTCTGCCTGTGTCTCTGCCTCTCTCTCTCTCTGTGTGACTATCATAAATAAATAAAAAATAAAAAAAAATTATAAAAAAAAATAAACACCATGATTCCCTCATTACCATTATTCTCTTCTTAGTGCTAATAGAAAGGACTCTTCCCTCATTACCATTATTCTCTTCTTAGTGCTAATAGAAAGGACTCTGCTGTGTACTACAGACTATTAGTGAAATGATCAAGAAATTTGCTAACCATATAGAATGTCACTACTCTTGATATTTTTGTGAGTCTCTCATCTTTCTTATGCTTGAGAATTTGCCTTCCTCTGACACATTCTCTGCTTTCTCATAGTGTCAGTACGTATACCTACATCAGTGCGTAAGAGATGTCCTCAGAGCACGGAAGCTACGGAGTGAACAAGAAAACCCCTTGTTTCCAATCTACGAAAATGTGAATCCAGAGTACCACAGAGGTAGGAGCTTCATAACTTATAAATTCATTTATCAAGATATGGTGTATCTAGAAACCATTAATAACCTAACCTCTTCAAAGCGCACCAGGCCTTTCTTCTTCCACCCAAAGGCGCTTAGAGAGTGGCAAAAGGGAGGAGAGGCAGAGTGGGGGCAGGGCCAGCTCCACAGCTGAGCACGGACTGCATGTGGTAGCTCTTCCTATCTGGCCTGGGATGCCCTCTCTTAAGAGTTCTGCTTAACAGTACTCTTTTCTAAGCAGTAAGGCTCTGTGCTAGGGAAGATGCTCTGAAATCACAACTGGGGATTCAGATTGTAAAATCCCTTTGGAGAAGAATTTGGCCATATGTATCAAAGTCCTCACTACGTTCTTGTCACCTAAGTGCTGAAAAGACTTTATTCATGACAATTTTTATAGCTAAAATTTTAATTGAAAAAAACCTCAAATGTTCAATAGAAGACTAAGCACACCATGGTGCATTCATTTAATAGAATACAATGCAGTCATTAAAAATGGTATTTTTAATGATATTACAACATGGATATTCTTATAAATATGCTGAGTTTAAAACACACACACACACACACACACACACACACGCAGGGGCGCCTGGGTGGCTCAGTCAGTTAAGTGTCTGACTCTTGGTTTTGGCTCAGGTGATGATCGTGGGGTAGGGGATCAAGCCCAGCATTTGGCTGTATGCTCAGTGCAGTCTGCTTGAGATTCTCTTTCCTTCTCCTTCTACTCTTCCTGATTGTTCTTTCTCTCTCTCTTAAATAAATAAATAAATCTTTTTTTAAAAAAGATTCATGTGATCCCTGGGTGGCTCAGCGGTTTGGTGCCTGCCTTCAGCCAAGGGTGTGATCCTGGAGTCCCAGGATCAAGTCCCACATCGGGCTCCCCACAGGGAGCCTGCTTCTCCCTCTGCCTGTGTCTCTGCCTCTCTCTCTCTCTCTCTCTCTCTCTGTGTATGTGTCTCCCATGAATAAATAAATAAAATCTTAAAAAAAAAGATTCCCTCTCTCCTTCTCCCTTTGCCCCTCCCCTATCTCTCTCTCTCTTTCTCTCTCTCAAATAAATCTTTTTTTTTAAAAAAGATCCCCTCTCTCTAACAAAAAACAAAACAAACAAAAAAAAGTAGAGCAAACAAACAACACATGGGAATAAAAGACTAGAAAGAAATAAACCACAAAAGTAAAACAAAGTTCTCAAATCAGCACAATAATATATGATTTTTCTTCTGTTTTATGTACCCCATTTTCTAGAATAGTATGTCACATTTTTAAAACAAAAATTTTAGTAAAACTTTATAAACTAAGAGGCACTGCTTTGATCAGACGCTAATTACTTGACAAGTAAAGGGTCTCTATGCCTTTTCCCATTCTAAACAATCATTTAGACCTAACTTATCACAAAGGCAAACTGCAAATTCGAAGTTACATTGTATTAGTTATCTACTACTGCCTAACAAATTACCCTAAAACTTGGCAGTTTAACTCAGCATTTATTTTCTCACAGTTTCTATAGGTCAGGTATTTGGAGGAGCTTAGCCAGGTGGTGTTGGGTCACTCACGATGCCATAGTCAAGATGTTGGCCAGGCTGCAGTCATCTGAAGGCTTGACTGGGGCCGGGGGTCCATTTTAAGAAAGTGCACTCACATGGCTATTGGTTTAGGTCTCAATCCCTTGCATGTGGACCTGTGTCCATCTAAAAATTAGATCCTTCTCGAAACATTATTTTATCTCCATTTCTAATTGATCTTCAATTTTATTTAGTTCTCTGCACCTTCCGTATCCAGTGACTGAGCCAGGACAGTACATAGTTAATGATCTGTGAAGTAAATATATATGAGACAGCTGCCATTTAAAGGGGTCCTTTGTTAATCAATAATTCTCTTGGATTATAAATTATTGCCCCCTAATTTATCTGTGTTACAAATTAAGGTTTTTGCATGTCACATCCTTTAAGAAGCTCCAGGATGGAGGGAGCTCTGGGGGATCGGGGAGATTTCTTTGTTTTGTTATGACTTGTGTGAGAGTCGTTTTTTGTTGTTGTTGTTGTTGTTTTTTAAGTCATCTTGGGTGCTCCTGGGAGAGCCAGCTATGGTGTGATTAGCTTCAGGTGTCTGAAAGTTAGGATTCAGGTCCTAGCTCTGGCACTAACACAGATTACCAAGTTGTGTAACCCTAAGTGAGTCCCTCTGCCTCTCTGGGCCCGTGGGTGCATCTATATAATCAGAGAGGATGGACTAGAATTACTGGTCCCTTAATTCTCGTAATCTGTGGTTCTGAATGGAATGACCTGGACCCCACAATGATGCTCTCGCCCTATACCATATTGGACTTTAGTCATTTCCGCTAGTCTTATCCATTTGTAATCTTCATAAATGGAACAAACGACTATGACACACTCTGCTCCATCTCTAACTACAATGTCCTTCCTTTCAGACACGGGCTATTCAAGGCATTGAGAATGTATCTGAAGATCTCTCGGATAAAATGTATTCACTGCGTGATTTAAAAACAAAAACAAAACAAAACAAAAAAAAAACAGAACAAAACAAAAATCAAAAAAAAAAAAAAAACTTGCTTCATGCCCCACAGAGGTGTCAGCTATTTCTGTTGATACAATGTATAATTTATTAATCTGCAGAATTTTAAAGAATTTATGTAATTTAAAGGTAACAGATATTGTACATAGTTGTATTTTGTAGTTTCTTCTGTACATATGTATTTTTTCATAATGTTTAATATTAAGCTTTATATAATGCTATTTTTCCACACTAAAGTGTTCATGGATTGTTCTACGTAAACTAATTCAGCCTGTGTAACAGGACTACCGGTAACATATGTCTGGAAGGGGTTGCAGAGGTGATCCCATGGGCCACGGTTTTGACCTGTTTTGATATCTGCTGGTGAGGATAGAGGGCAGGGCTGGAGAAAGCATGTAATACAGCTGGCTTTCCTGCATTGCTCTTCTAGGAATCTAGGGATCCGAAGATGATCCAAATGTTATTTGGACGAATATAACAGTCAAAACCGGATTAAGCAGCACCAAAGCTGAAGTAGGTGGTTATTGCTAAGCTAGTTCATCTCTCCCCCTTCGCCTGCCAGAGGTTCAAGCCAAAGTGGTCAGTTCAGGGGCCACATAATTTACAGAGTGGTCCAGGCTGCAGGGTTGAGGATTCTGAGAGAGAACGATCCAAACAGAAGAGATGAATTCCTTGTATCGAGAAGATTGCCTCCTGTACCCTTAACTGGAAACCAAATCAACATGCAAAGTGCCGTCCGTAGTGACTGGAGATTATTTACTACATTCGTAGTGTGTGAACCACACACACCCGAACTATAAAGAGTATGTGGTTGATGATGACTCTCATCTTTGTCTCATTGCTAGTGGGCTGCATTCCTGGAAATGCCAGAATTATGTCACTCATACTTGGTTTTCCCGTTTAAAGAGGATTGTTGTAGCAGATTATATTTCTGATCAAAAACTTGATATTAACATCTTTATAGCAATGTCATATATAGTTCGTTAAAAAAAAATTAGTGGTGCTTAATATAGAAATTCCCAAAAGACTTTTCTAGTAAGTCACTGAGGTCAAAATAGCAGTAATCACCTGAAGATGCATTTAACATAAAAGCCAAGTTTCTCTTCACTAGTTGTGCCTATTTTGACTATAACAAATTTCAGTGGGTTAGAAAGTGGGCATTACCCTCCCCGAGGTCCAGTTCTGAGGGTGCTTCTGGGGACAATTTGAAAGGTATCATCTATAGAGAATCTTCATGGCTACTTGAGAAATGAGCTAGGATGTTTGCCTTTTTCTCACCTACAAATTTCTCCATAATAAACTCAAGAATTAGAGATGAAAGTTGTTGACCTCACAGCTTCAACTGCAGAAAGAATACATGTCAAAGTGTGTCTTTTTGCTACATAACAGTAAAGTCCCAAAAGTAATATAATGGGTATAAATGACAATCATCAAATATAGCCAAAATAGTTATTTATGGTTATGTAAATTTACACACACACACACACACAAACTCTCCAGGGCTACTTGCAGTTTATAAAAACAGGGGGAAACTTTACAAGAAAAAATGTGAAGAGTAATAAAAGGATTCCATGTTTTCACAGCCTCCTTAGCTCAATGCCTTTGTGGAATGGCAGTGTTAGGTCCTGCTCCTGCTTCAGGGAACTAGGTGCATCTTCTAGAAACGCAAAGGAACAATATGTATGTAAGGGTAGCGGATGTACCACCCGGAAGAAAACAGAGGTCAGAGATTTAGGAGATGTGGTGTCAATTAGGAATAACTTTCCCTGCACGAAAAAAAGAAAAAGAAAAAGCAGGAGAAAACAGATTTTTTAAACCAATGCTGCTTGGCACAAAGCACAGTAACACATGGAAAAAGAAATCCATTTGGGGCCTTTCATTCATTCAGAAAAGTTTAACCAAGTGCCTGTAACCTGCTAGGTACCATCCTAGAAAGGACTCATTTCTACTCCACAAGGAAAATGCATCCCAACAGTCAAGTTAGGGCTGTTGTTACTATTTCCAATTACACTTGAAAGAGGACCTTGGGGAGCCAGCAAAAGAGGCAAGCAGACCAGGGCACAAAAAAAGGGCAGACGCTGAAGCTGCTTTAATAGCAAACCACTAGATCGAGAAGAGAAAGCAATCCATTGCACCAACCAAGAATTAAAACTGTTGGAAAAAAAAAAAAACCCTACATGTCTGTAAACAGTAAATACCGTTCGCGTACCCCAGTGTGTCTGGGGTGGCATCACTGTTATGGAAATGGACACGGCAAGGGAAAACTGTATGTTCTTTCAGTCTAATCCAGGAAATATTTATTCCTACCCTCCACCTGTCTAATTTTAAATCTCCTTAGCAACAAATATTTCACTATCTTCCCTCCTGCCACCGCCAAGGACTAAATACATTATCTAGTTGATCTGTTTATTAAATTTAGGAGGGGGGGGAAGGTTTCCTTGACATTCATCTCGATTGGACATATTTTAATATAATCCCATCATGTGTTAGGTCTTGGTAAACATTCCATTTCCTGTCGTGGTGGGCATCCTGTTTGCACCTGTCCACTACACTTGAATCACCCAACCTTCAAAGTGCTTGTGAGCTATCACATCTTAGGAGAGTCCCGTCTTGCATCTTAATAATTATTTACCCAAGTTCTTTATAATTAACACCTTTAATCTCTACTCATTAAATCGATCTCCTATTATCATTCTGCTGCTCCCTGGATAGCAGCCAGTTTTTCAGCTCTTGAATCAGAGTTTTCAAAGGCTCATCTCCCTGTCTGGGCCTGCACATATTTGTCCTGAGCAACTCACCATCTCTTAACACTTCGGAGTCCCTCTTTTTCACAACTTGTTGCCTTCTCCTCTTTTGAGCATGTTTGCTTTCCCAGTCGAATGTGATTTTATTTTCTGTTCATTTTATCTCCTTCAACTCACTGGCATTTCATAGTCTTCTCAGGCTCCACGTTATAGCAGAGGTGACCATGGTTTCACTGTGACATACTAAAATGGTCATGGCCCACAGACATGTTGGGGACAGTTTTATTTGGAAGGGTCTTTAATTAATTTTGTTATTACCTCTTGGAGGAAAGCCCAAAATGACATGTGAAAATAATATGAAACCACCAAGCAGATGTCCAGCAATACAAAAATAGACCTCACATGCTATACTTCACACTCTGAATCTCTTGCCTTAGTGTCTCAGGATCCAGTTTCTTATATTAAATATTCTCCTTACTTTTTTGCAAGAAAATTACTGGCCATATACTGAATTCCCAATTACTTGGCTTTCTGAGTCTCTGAGATTGGAACCTAGAAGTCTAAGCTGGCCGGATCTGTGTGACAGCAAATGATAGGACCTGGCCCCAGCCCTGGGAGGCTCTAGAGTTTCTGTCCACTCACCTGAACCACCCCAAACGTGACCTGGTATTGAAAGGCAATAGGAAATAAGCTGCTTGTTTGAGGTAGTAGTTCAAGGACTGTCCAGGTTCCATTTCACAGAGGAAATGAAAGTAATTCACCAGCCAAGACAGAGTGGCAAGAAGGAATGGCTGGTCCTCCCCCAGATGGCTGTGAGCAGCCCTCGACCCCACCTCACACCTAGGAAGAGTCAGAGTGGAAAGGCCCTAATCAGCCCAAAAGCCCTGTTACATTTCTGAATATTTTTAACCCAAGATTTCAAATCACATCAAGTATTCAAGGAAAGTTTCATATCAGAGGAAAATCTGTAAACCATGACTGCAGAAAGCAAATGAAATGATACGAAGAAGGGGAAATATCTGAAAAAGGGAATCTAACCAGACGTCATCCGGAAGACAAAATGGCATCCTCTCTCTGTGTCCAGACTATTCTCAGAAGAATGTCGTATTTCTATTAGGACATATTATCCTTGGGGGGGGGGGGGAGGCTCTCTTTTATTTCATCAGCCAGATGATTTAGCCAATTAAGCAATTGAATTGAGATTCATTTAGTTTTGTGAATTGACCATGTGTTTGACTACATGGACTAAGCTTGGAATCCAACCACACTACCTTAGATTCTTGTAGTGGATGATGCCTTTGAAAGTGGCCATTTTAGTTAAAATGCAGGGTAACATTTGATACAGCCATGGTAATAGCAGAAATCTGCTCTGTTCTAAAAATGTTTCAGCAATGGAAATATTTCTGACTAAAAGAATACTCTTGACTTGTAGGGAGGCTCCCTAGGAATAAATGTATGCAACAAAAATAAGGCATTTTATTTTTTTTAAAGGTTGCCTATATAGATACATTCATGAGATAAGGAAATTGTTAGTGAATGCTCTTAAAAATAGAGGTTTATGTAATGGAGATCAAGAAATCTATTAACAGATTTACCAAAGATTATTTTTATAGCCTATATGCCAATGTACATGATCTCACATAAGTTACGAAAATAAGTTGTTGAACACTGTGAATAATGTCAGACAAATGTAATGTGCCCCTTCTAGAGTCATGACAAAAAATGTTAGCTATGGCTGTTCTCTCTGCCTTAAGTAATGTCTTTTAGGAAAGACCGTCTTCGCCCTAAGAGCAAGCTTTGTGTTATGCGTGAGATGTTGTATTTTAATAGCTGAGCCAGTAAATAAGCATCCCAGCAGAAAGGAGCATATGCAGTTGTAGTGTTAGGAGTGTGTAGCACACTGGGACAGTGTTCCCTCTGCAAATCTGGGGAGAGTCTGCAGCAGCCCTTGTGAAAGTTCTTGCTCTCAGCCACACTGACTACCGGGGGCACCCATGTTCTTGCCTGAAGGGCCCTTGAGCTCTGGTCCCCCATGTGGGACCCATCCGGCTGATAAATTCTACAAAGACAAGGATCAAGTCTTCAATCTTGTCTCTGGTGCTACCTTGTAGAAATTATTTCACAGCACACACATTCAGCATATGCTTCATGATCAGAAACTGCTGCTGGCCCAGTACTTTGAATGTTAGGTAGCCAGAGTCCAAAACCACCATCCACTACGGTCCAAGGAGGTTCAGCTAGCTATTCCTTGAGTTACGTGTGGCTTGAGTAAACACTGTAAATAAATCCCGCAAGTGAACATATTATGTTCTATAATAGAGCACTTTTATGTTTTTAATATCATGTATTCTTTCTCTACAAATCTGGTTATTTAAAATGGCAGTAGATGATTTTATTTTTCAATACTATTGTACCTCCCCACAATACTGTGTTTCTAACCAGCTCTAGTTGAACAAAGAACTTCTCTAGTCTTCCTATTTAAATTATGTATGTGCTTAATATATTTTCACATTTGTAACTGTGGTCAAAAAAGCTACCTAGTACCACCTTACGTACCTTCTCACTAGTACAGGAATAAAACTGCTGTTTGTTGAAGCAAAGTGTCCTGGCTTCTCTTCACCTGTTCCTCATTTGTCAATCTCTGTCGTCCTTCTCTGCTCAGAAGAAAGGTCAGATGTGACTGCTTTTAAGTGAGAAAAACCTTCCAGGCCATTATCATAAGAACATGGTTGTCTTAACCTTTATTCCTGCGAGTGCTGAGCTGGTTCCCTAGGTTATCGTGTACATTATAATAGACTCTCTAGTTGACAGTCTCCAACCCAGTTCTTGTTTTCAGTTCTTTGGTTCATTAGTAACCAAAATGCCATCTATTACCAACAGTGTCAGTGTGTTCTCAGAGGCGCTGCCCCAGCGGGATCACCGTGAGCCCTTCAGAAGCACTTCACACGTTAGCAGGCAGTGTGACATTTGGTAAAGGGCTGCTGCGCCTATTTCCAGAATTATTATTTTGCCCTTTGCCTTTTCACATTTCAGTTGAAAGATCAGTGTCCTTCACAACTTCAGTATTTCAT